GAAGAAGAAGAAGAAGAAGAAGAAGAAGAAGAAGAAGAAGAAGAAGAGAGGAGGAGGAAGTTGCCGGGGCGTTAATAACGTGGAGGCGAAACCCTGGAGGAGAAACAAGGTTTCGAGGTAAAAAGTCCTAGACCCGAGGAATTCTGGGAGTTGAAGTCCTCCCCCATGTTGGCCGGGGAATTCTGGGCACTGAAATCTATACATGCTAGCTGAGGAATTCTGGGAGCCTTCTAGCATTAAGAGCTAGGCTGTAAAGGCTATAAATCCTGCTTAAAACACAGCCAGCCATTTTAAACACGGAAGCTGGCAATCTTCTCAGTCCCAAATACAGAGAAGATGGCGTCCTACTTACGCTCGGTAGCAGCTTCGCGTTCTCGGTATTTTGCATCCGCTTTGTCCAAGTAGGCAAAACTTGGCCGCATTTGCAGAATCCCATGCAACGGAGTCAAGTGAAGCTCCCCTGCAACAGAATAAAGTAGGTTTTTTTTACAAAAAGAGAAATAGCAGAGACTAGATCTAAAACAGCATTTTTCTAGCCCAACAATTTTAAGACGTGCGGACTCCAACTCCCAGAATTCCCCAGCGGGTATTGCTGGCTGAGGAGAGGAAGTCCATGCATGCTGGCTAGTGAATTCTGGATTTTAAAGTCCATTCATACAGGCTGAGGAATTCTGGGAGTTGAAGTCCATATGCTGGCTGGGGAATTCTGGGCACTGGAATCCATGCATGCTGGCTGAGGAATTCTGGGAGTTGAAGTCCACCGTTGAGGAATTCAGGATTTTAGAATCCATTCATACAGGCTGATGAATTCTGGGAGTTGAAGTCCACCAATGCTGGCTGAGGAATTCTGGGAGTTGGAAGTCCCACCAATGCTGGCTGAGGAATTCTGGAGTTGAAGTCCACCGGTTGAGGAATTCTGGATTTTAGAATCCATTCCTACAGGCTGAGGAATTCTGGATTTTAGAATCCATTCCTACAGGCTAAGGAATTCTGGGAGTTGAAGTCCACCAATTGAGGAATTCTAGATTTTAGAATCCATTCCTACAGGCTGAGGAATTCTGGGAGTTGAAGTCTACGTATGCTGGCTGAGGAATTCTGGGAGCAGAAGTCCACTGGTTGAGGAATTCTGGATTTTAGAATCCATTCCTACAGGCTGAGGAATTCTGGGAGCTGAAGTCCACCTATGCTGGCTGAGGAATTCTGGGAGCTGAAGTCCACTGGTTGAGGAATTCTGGATTTTAGAATCCATTCCTACAGGCTAAGGAATTCTGGGAGTTGAAGTCCACCAATTGAGGAATTCTGGATTTTAGAATCCATTCCTACAGGCTGAGGAATTCTGGGAGCTGAAGTCCACCTAAGCTGAGGAATTCTGGGAGCAGAAGTCCACTGGTTGAGGAATTCTGGATTTTAAGAATCCATTCCTACAGGCTAAGGAATTCTGGGAGTTGAAGTCCACCTATGCTGGCTGAGGAATTCTGGGAGTTGAAGTCCACCTATGCTGGCTGAGGAATTCTGGGAGTTGAAGAAAACACATCCTAAAGTTGGTGAGGGGAGAAACCGTGCTCTAAAACATAGGCAACCCTTGGAGAGACAGAGTTTGGGTGGACTGACAAAACAAAGATTTTCCGTCAGGTAGAAAGGCGGTAAACTAGGCAGCTACATTCACACGACCTGCTAAAACCTGGTTAGATATTGAAGGGGTTGGAGGCGTCCTACAAACGCAGCTGTTTAGAAACCTATGAAAATACAGCCTGTGAATTAACTCCATTGCTAGCTTGGATGCTGTTTTTCATGCCCTCAATTTTGCACCAGAAATCCGAAGATTGTAAGGGCTTTTTTTTTTTTTAATAGTTTATTTTTGAAAACCACAAAGGCATGTGGGTGTAACAACTCACCTCTTTTGTAGATAGCAGCAGCGTATCGTGAAATGTTGCTGGTGGTTTGCGAGGAGCAGAAAGTCTGCTTGTCCATCAACTTCCTGGAAAATATGGAAGACAGGATTTCAGTGAAAAGGCATGTGGGAATGATCTTGGTAGACCACGAGAAGAGACAACGGTCGGATAAGAGAGGATATAGCCTGCAAGTTGTATAAAGGGTGAAGAAAGAAGCCCAGATGGGACCCTCCCTAACTTCTCGGGCTGTAAAATGGGGGGAAGGAGAGAGAAATTTGTACTTTCAGATTGGCAAGATTCTATTAATGTAGCGTTTGTCAGCTTTGGACGCCATATTAGGCGGGAAGCTCCAATGCTTCCAATTCTACAATAAATTCTACAATAAAATAGAATGAACTTATCGGGTCGTCTTTCCTGTCTGGTCCATTTGGTAAGAGATGACACTCAAAAATAAGAGCTTTGGTGGCGCAGCAGACTAAAGTGCTGTTAAGTAGCACCAGCTGCCTGCAATTACTGCGAGTTCAAATGTCACCAGGCTCAAAGTTGACTCAGCCTTCCATCCTTCCGAGGTAGGTAAAATGAGGACCCGGATTGTGGGGGCAATAAGCTGACTTTGTATAAAAAAGAACACCGCTTAGGGGGGGCCGAAAGCCCTACTAAGCAGGTATATACAAAAGTATGAAGGCTATTGCTTAACGCATTGTAAGCCGCCCTGAGTCTCCGGAGAAGGGCGGCATATAAATCGAACCAATAAATAAACAAACAAACAAACAAACTAACTAACTAACTAACTAACAAACAAGTAAGTAAGTAAGTAAGTAAGTAAGTAAGTAAGTAAGTCAGTCTATTTTAATGCAAAGAAGGACTAGGAGGGACATGATAGCAGTCTTCCAATATCTCAGGGGCTGCCACAAAGAAGAGGGAGTCAAGCTATTCTCCAAAGCACCTGAAGGCAGGATAAGAAGCAACGGATGGAAACTAAAAAGGAGAGAACCAACCTAGAACTTAAGGAGAAATTTCCTAATAGTGAAAACAATTAATCAGTGGAACCGTTTGCTTCCAGAAGTAGTGGGTACTCCATCACTGGAGGTTTTCAAGAAGAAACTGGACAGCCCTATGTCTGACATGGTATAAGGTCTCCTGCTTGAGCAGGGGGTTGGACTAGAAGACCTCCAAGGTCCCTTCCAACTCTGCTATTGTGTATTAACCTGCCAATCAAAAAACCCTGGCAAAGGTGGGGATTCCACCCAGCTGAGCCCGGGCATCAATGCAAAGGCAATACTCACGAAGAGTAAGTGTTGGTCTCATCCGTACACGTGCCATCTACGTTGAGGGCAATCTGTTCCCCTTTGCTACGACAGTAGTTGGAATTCGAAGTGTCAATGGCCATTTCCAGTTCAACCTAAACAAGAGCAGATGGGTGGATCAGCTCAGCAGAGTGAGTAAATGCAACCATTCATAAAAACTAAGAGAGAGAAAAAAATTAGGTGCCGAATTTGATAAAAATGAGACACAGGCTGGGTGTCAACTCGCAAAGCATCCCTGGCCTGCTCTTGAGTTGCCATAGGCAGGGGGGATGGGAAAACCAACTCTGTAGCTGCGACAAGGCAGCACGTCAGTCAAAACAAAAGCACATTCCAGCCATATATCTGTCAAGGTAGTCTCCACGGTTACCCACAGTGGCCGGACGGGAGTGATCTCTACAACCCGCAAAATTGCTTCATTGGAGAATGTGACTGATGACACACCTTGGGGGGAGAGGGAAACAGGGTCAGAGCTGGAAGGTAAATTATGTGGGGTCAGAGTTGGCTTCACTTAGAACGTGCCGACATGAAGCTCCTAATAAATAACTGGATTTGTTTTGAAGCTTGGCTTGAGGCTCATGATTTAATTAGGGCATTGATCGAAACCCTGACACTGTGTATTTAAATAGCAGATTGGGTATATTAAACCCTGGAGGGATCAATACATTTTTCCTTTTAAATAATAATTTTATTCAAGATCAGATTTAAAGAGATAAAAACTAATACAAATTTAAAAAACAGTAATAATACAAAATAGAAAAAGCACGAAAAGTAAAAAAATATATATCTTGCGAGATCCGGCCATGAATGGTGTGCATGGACTTTTAATGTTTTTAAAATGTTTTTTAATAATTTTCCTATGTTCTTTGTTGTATTATTTTTTGCTGCAAGCCGCCCAGAGTCCCTTGGGAGTTGGGCGGCATAGAAATTCGATAAATTAAATTAAATAAAATATATAACGAATCCAAAGAAAAATAGAAAACGAAAAAGATGATGATGCCAAAGAAAATAAACATATAAAGAAATGATTTCCCCTTTATCAGTACCAGTATAAACATTAGTAGTATCCCTCTCCCTTAAAATACAATAAATGATCTCTTGTTATATCCCATCTTTTTATTCATACACAAATCCTTAAAATCTCGTCCTTCAGTCCTGGCTAGCAAAAGTCTATGAATGTTATCGCAGATCACAAATGTTATCAATTTTAACCTGGAAGAAATAAGCCTTTGAGAAAGAGAGTTGAATCAATTTAAATAATGCTTGGTTTGATCAAGAGAATCCAAGTTGGGTTTTTTTGGAAAAGTTAAGACTGGGAATTTCATCGCCGCTATGGAGACATAAAGCTGGGCTTAGTGAAAAAACCACAATAGCTTTTGCTTGGTTTTGGCCAAACACTTCAAAAGAAACAAGTTTCTCTGGTTGCAAACTAGAGTTGTTGTCTCTACATGTTCCATCAACTCACCCGATTAGATGTGTTTCATCAAGTACAGTAGTGGCCAAAATTGTGGAAACCTTTTGGGAAAAGCATATTTTTGAGGTTTGATGGCTAATAAAACCACTTTTTTTTTTTTTTTGGAGGTTCAAGATAATCCTATTACACTGCTGGAATTGAAAATCTATGGAGCCAACTAAAGAAATGTGATAGTCAGAAGTGACCCAGCAATAAAACCCAGTTAATAGAAGTCATCCTTCAATCTTGGTTTCACATTAGAACAGCTGCAGAACTCAAAGACTTGGTTCACTCCATGGGAAGACATTGTAAGGCCGTCCATTCATGCTAAAGGTTACCCAACGAAGTATTAACTGACATGGTGATCATTTTTGTATATCTTATTTTTTTCTACATGTTTCACTTTTCTTCTTTATACTGTAACTGCTATTCTAATAGCAAATCCTTCATGAAAGTTATTGCATTGCATTCTTGATTAAATTATCTTTCCATTGATATATAATTTTATGCTACTACTCCTCCCAAAAAGTGATGTTGTTAGCTAGTTTTAGAAAATACACTTTTCCCAAAAGGTTTCCACAATTTTATTTATTTATTTTATTTTATTTTATTTTTCAATTTATATACCGCCCTTCTCCCTGAGGACTCAGGGCGGTGCACAGCCAGAATTAAAAACATGAAATACAAATATTAAAAACAATTAAAATCTATATAAATTTGGCCCAAAATTTAAAAAACCACAAACCAATTAAACATTTAAAAATTTTAAAAAATTTCTTCCTAAGCCAGCCCGGCTTGCTGGAAAAAGTGGGTTTTAAGGGCACGGTGGAAGGCACTGAGGTCTTGGATTCTCCTTATCTGTGGGGGTTAATTTTGGCCACTAGTGTACCTTTATAAGCAAGCCATGGTTTAATGAAAAACATTAGGTACCAATTCTAAGTACCAAAATTAAATTGTATTCAGTTATTTCCAAACAAACCTTTACTATATTTTAGCCATCATGTCAGGGTTGAACAATCTCAAATCTTCACGTATTTTGAATTATATAATTTATTTCAATCCTTCGTTATTGCCTGTTCTGGCCAGAACAAGGCATAAACGATAATCCAAAAATATAGGAAGAACAGATTTTCTGCCCTGACACCATATTAGCCCAGCAAGAAAGTAAAATTTCTAATAACAGTAGAATAACAGATTCTTAGGAAAGGTTTAACCAGATAGTTTCTCCCCACTGTTAAAACTTTATCTTAGTTTTGAAACAACCTCTTAAATTTTTTAAAAACGTTTTTAAAGCGGTATCCAACCTTCTGTTGCTTCGGTTTGATCTTCGCCGAGAGATGAGTAACCTCATTGTAAGTCATCGAAGCCGGACGAATAGGATACTGCAACAAATCAAGATGCAACTTCAGTTAGCTTTTTAAAAGACTCCTTCAGCGGTTTTTCTTTTTTTAAAAAAAAACTTGCATGGAAAAAAAAATACCTGGAACAGATAGAGTTTTTCCGACAGGCTTTTAGCCAGATAGACGTCAATCTAGCAAAAAAAAGACAGAAGGCATATTTCAAGATTATTTTTATTTTATTTTTCCGGATCTTTGATTCTGACCCATGGTAAAGTATCTCGCCCAAACTTGCAATTCAAAAGAATAAATCGGGCGTAACAAAACAACTAAAAAAATAAAATGATGCACTGGTATAAAAAGGAAGGCAATACATAATAAATGTGAAGCCTGTTTTTCCTGAAATGCAAAAAAGCTGGCATAATAATTGAAACAAGGAGTTTGAAAGGTATTCAGCTAAAAAAATATTTCATTTAAAAAGGATGCTTTATTTGAAAACGAAGATCTCTGCAAAAGAAGAGATTGGTATGTAATTACAGAGGGGTGGATTTGACAAGATAAAGCAGTTTTCAGTTAGAATAGAATAGAATAGAATAGAATAGAATAGAATAGAATAGAATAGAATAGAATAGAATAGAATAGAATAGAATAGAATGAAGGAGGGAGGCAGGGAAGGAAGGAAGGAAGGAAGGAAGAAAGAAGGAAAGAAAGAAAGAAAGAAAGAAAGAAAGAAAGAAAGAAAGAAAGAAAGAAAGAAAGAAAGAAAGAAAGAAAGAAAGAAAGAAAGAAAAAATATTTATTGGCCAAGTGTGATTGGACACACAAGGAATTTGTCTTTGGTGCATATGCTCTCAGTGTATATAAAAGAAAAGATACGTTCGAGCTTCATCTTAATTTTTCACTCTGAAATTACAACGAATATTAACTTTGCACCACAAAACAGTGATCAATGATAAAGCAGATAACCTGGGAGAAAAACCTTACTACTGATAGTCCTCGACTTATGACAATCAGGACCAGAAGGCGGTTATTAAGCGAGCCATGCCAGATTTTACCATCTTTTTTAGCATGGTTGTTAAGCGAATCAGCGCAGTTGTTAAGCAAATCAGACGGTCGTTAAACAAATCAGCTTCCTTCACTGAGTTTGCTTCTCAGAAACCAGCTGGGAAGATCGCAAATGAGAGATCACATGATCCCGGGACATGCAAAATCATAAATGTTGGTTCCCAAGTGGCCGAATTTTGACCCCAGGGAATGCTGCAACGGTCATAAGTGCGAGGATTAGTTGCAAGTCACTTTTTTCAGCGCTGTCGTAACTGCGAATGGCTGCTAAACGAATATGTTGTAAGTCAAGGGATATAGATGTATATTTTCTATGGGAGGAAAAGCCACAATAGATATTAAAGAAGATTTTATTTTTTTAAAAAAAAAATTCACTACTTGCCTCTTGTATAATAGGATCATCTTCCTCATTGGCCATAGTAGCATTGGAAGAAAATTAGCTTTGCGTTAACCTGAAACAAAACACACAATTACCACAATTCTGATCTCTTCACTGGATTCAAACAAAGCTTTAACATAAAAAGGCAACCAACAACACACAGGCAGTTCTCAACTTATGACTACAACCGAGCCCAACATTTCTGTTGCTAAGCGAGACATTGGTTAAGGGAGTTTTGCCCCGTTTTACGACCTTCTTTGCCACGGTTGTTAAGCGAATCTGGCTTCCCATTTGACTCCGCTTATCAGAAGGTCGCAAAAGGGGAATTACGTGACCCCGGCATACTGCAACCGTCATAAATATAAGTCGGTTGCCAAGCATCCACATTTTATTCGCATGACCATGGATGCTGCAGCGGTCGTAAGTGTGAAAAACGGTCATAAGTCACTTTTTTTCAGTGCCGTTGTAACGTTGTAAATGGTCACTAAACGAACGGTTGTAAGTCAAGGACTACCTGTGGTTATCCTTTCATTTTCACTTCCATCTTTTGTTGAAAGACACATTGAAAAAAAATGATCCTTTTCCTCTCCCAGTTCTTTGCCTTAATTTTCTTCCTCTTCTATTTATTTCAAGTCATAGATTAGCCACAAGAGCTAGGAACATAAATCACCCGAAAATAGAAAAATAAAAGATTATATTGACAGAATACAATAGTTATTTCCAACGCAATAAACAGATTCATAGGTCGAAGTCCCTTTTCCTTTCCGATTGTGTATCTTAATAAGAGTCCTATGTTTCAAAAATTATACATTATTACGTATTTAGCTTTTGTTCACTGTGCAGGTAGTCCTCGACTCATGACAATCCGAACCCAAAATTCATGTTGTTAAGCGAGACATTTGTTAAGTGAGCTTTGCCCCATTTTTTTTTTACGACTTTTCCCGCCACAGTTGTTAAGCGAATTCACTGCCGTCGATAAAAGTTAGTAATGTGGCTGTTAAGTGAATCTGCCTTTCCCCGTCAAGTTTTGCTTGTCAGGAGGTCGCAAAAGGAGGAATCACATATAACCCTGGGGACACTTAACACCGTCGTAAATGTGAATCAGTTGTCAAACCTCAGGAACGTAAATTTTAAATTGATTTTAAATTGGAACAGTTTTAATTACGGCCAAGATATTTAATTATTTTAATCAGTTTTTAGATTTTGTATGTTTTGTATGTATGTCTTGTTTTTACTTTGGCTGTTCACCGCCCTGAGTCCTATATTGGAGAAGGGCGGTATAGAAATTTAAACAAATAAATAAAATAAATAAATCAATCAATCGCCTGAATAACGGGGATACCGCAGTGTGAAAAAAAATATATCCAAAGTCCCTTTTTTTTCCCCAGTCCCGTTGTAACTTCGGTCACTAAGCTGAACTGCTGTAAATTCTTCTCTCCTCCTCTTTCCTAAACTATTAATTTTCTTTAAATTTCTCCCATTTCCTATTTGTTTCTTGCCTTTCTATGTAAAACAACCTTTTAAACCATTTTGCATAGTAAACAAGAGAATGGGAATGAATTTTTGAATATTAATCACGACTTGTTTAGAGATGTCACAACTATGGTTAAATTGGTTTTTAAAACGGTTTCAAATGTTGGAACTGCTGTAAATTGAGGACTCCCTGTCCTGGTCCCTCTCCCTCTCCACACCAACTTGTGTAACACACAACCACAACCACACACCAAAAAAATGAGGATCTGCTTCTTGGTTTAAACTGCTCTTGGGCTGAATCCAATGGGAGCAGTGGAATCCTGGATTCCTGGATCCAATGGAATCCTGCTTTTTTTTTCTCCCCCCCACCCCCAGGCCCTTAGATCAAGGTTGGATGCCAAGCCATCTTTAAACCCGGTTTAGGGAGATCTGGGGCTGATGCAACCTTTTTGCAAACCTTTGCAAGGGATTCAAAGGATGCAACCAGGCTGGATCTCTTCTCTTCCGGGTGGGGTGGGGTGGGGAAAGGAGATCCACCCAGGGTTTGGAAAGGCAGAGAGGGGGGGGCAGCAAAGGGGCACTCCCACCCCCCCCCAATTTGGACTTTTTTAACCTCTGCCATCCAAAGAGGGGCGCCAGGACCCCAACCCACCCTTGCCAGGCCTTGCAAACCAGTTTTTGCAAAAAAAAAAAAGGATGCTTACCTCTTTGGTTGCAATGATGCAACCTAGGATTGGGGGGGGGGGGGGTGGAGGAGGAATGGGGGGGGGGCTTGGATCTGCCAGCCCCCCCAACCTTCTTTCTGAACTGGATTGCAACGTGCAACGCCAAACCCGGGATTCACTCAGCTCGCAGCCATGTTGCGGGAAACTCCTCCAAAGCACGTGGGAAGGGTTTGGGGCCGCCTCCCGTACCCATAATGCTCAGCCCCCCACCCCGCGGGAAGGGAAGGGAGGGGGCCACCAGGGGGCGCTGCCAGCCTTTGCTTTTTTTTTTTTTTTTTTCCTCCACGTGTTTTTATATTAGCCAGATCGATTTAGACGTGCACGGTTGCGCGCGTTAGGAGCGCTGGCTCTTTTGCAAAGGAATTCCCTCCCCCCACCACTCCTTTTTTATTATTATTATTATTTTAAAAAAAGGGATTTTGGCAGCGGTGGGATTCGAACCCACGCCCCCGAAGAGACTGGAGCCTTAATCCAGCGCCTTAGACCGCTCGGCCACGCTACCTTATTGGAGAAAAGAGAAGCTGCACAGGGTATTCATGGCTGCAAAATAAAAATGCATCTATTTTGCTTTGGGCCAATTTTGCACATGCATCTTTCTTTTTTTCTTTTTTTTGCAAAAAACCCACCAGGGGTTGCCAGATGTCCACTATTTGAGCGGACAGTCCGCTTTTTTTTCCACATTATGTTCACTATTTTTTTTTCCACAAAATAGTGGACATTTTTTTTTATTCAAAAGCTTTACGATGAAATGGTACGTAAGTTTTGCGAGTCAGAATTCCATGAAGTTTTGCGCCACGTTGCAAAACTTTGGTTAAGTTTGTTTAAAGCGGTCGAAAGACTTTTTTTAAACTGGATACCTCTAAAATCGTATTTTATTCCTCTTGGATCTGATGAATGCCGTAAGGTTATCTGGAACCTTATTTCGGATCAGGAAAATGAACTCGCAAAGGACGATGAACCAACAATTTCAGAATTGTATTTATATTTCACGCACTTCTTCATGTCAATAACGCAATAACGCTACTGAAGCTGGAAAGCAATAATAATAATAATAATAATAATAATAATAATAATAATAATAATAATAATTTTGCAAGAAAATTCTTGCATGTGATCTTCACAATATCAGGTGTAAGCTGCGTGATTCTTTGCAAAAAAAATAATACGATGAGCAGTTTTTTGCAATGAAAGTTTTATTTGCCTTACGTAAAAAACATTTGCCTGAGAATGCCGTGCAAAAGTTCAAAGAAAGAAGCCATCAACGTGTATCAAAGAGCCACTGCGTACCTAGAAAAGTGGAATAATTTCACCGATTCAGTATATGAGACGCTAAGTTGTTTCAATCTAATTGATCGCAATAATTGCTTTAAAAAGCAATTATTAAAAATAAATGCTTTAAAAAGTTTTAAAAAAAAGTTCCGATGATTGGCACAGTTGATTGTCGGAATCTTTTTTTTTTTTTACTTTTTTAAAGGATTTTTTTACTACCTATTGCCTGAATGGGTAGTAAAAAAAATGCTTTTAAAAAGTTTTTTAAAAGTTCAGACAATCAGCTGTGCATCTTCAGAACTTTTTTTTTTTACTTTTTAAAGCATTTTTACTACCGGTTCGGCGAACCAGTCACATTTGTTACTACTGGTTCGGGCGAACCGGCAGCATTTCAGGCCTGTGTAAGGGGCACCATTGGAAGAGCTGAAGAACCAAATTAGGGAGAGTAAATTTTTGTGGCCACTAAGCGTTGACATAAGACTTGATGGCTGATAATCCACCAATCCATTGGTCGAGATCCTGAATCCGTTTTATTTTTCTAGAAGTCCCTCAAACTGCAGGTTGTAACTCCCCTTCGCAGCTTAAAGAGAATTGTTTAAAACCCCGGTGTCTGCGAATTCACATGACGTATATATTAAACTCCAGTTATTTACAATTTCTTCCCCAATGCGAACACAGGAAATGGTTAGTTTTATTTGGGAAGGGAAAGGAAAATTGCAGATTAGTTCATCATTCTAAGGAGCTACGAGACTGCGAAGTTTGAGAACGTCTGCCATAAAATAGGACCCGGGTACTTGCGGGACCGCCTACTACCACCAATAGCCTCCCACCGGCCGGTACGCTCCCATAGAGAGGGGCTCCTCCGGGTGCCATCAGCCAAACAATGCCGACTGGCGGCCCCCAGGGGGAGAGCCTTCTCTGTGGGGGCACCTACTATCTGGAACGAGCTCCCCCCAGAGATACGGAGGATCCCGGATCTGCGCACCTTCCGCCGTGCCTTAAAGACCTTACTATTTCACCAGGCCGGCCTGGCCTAATTTTCCCCCTCTTTTATAAAAGATTTTTAAAATTTTAAATATCTTTTAGTATTTATATATTCAATTTTAAATTGGTTTTAAAAGTTTGGGGTTTTAAATTTGTCGGGGCCAAAATTGTTTAATTTGATTTTATTCTATTTTTTAAATTTTGTATTGTATGTGTTTTTATTGTTTGGCTGTGCACTGCCCTGAGTCCTTCGGGAGTAGGGCGGTATAGAAATCTAATAAAATGGAAAAAAAAAATGAAAAATAAAATACAATCGGGAGTGGGCTGCTGGGGATTCGCAAGGGTTCGGGAGGACCTCTAAGATTCTGTGCAGTTCGGAGAACCCCCAAATCCCACTCTTGGCTGGCCTCACCCACTCCTCCCCTCCCCGTAGTCCCCACATGGCCTATTTTGGATGCAGGTAAGTGCAGGGAGCATGCAGAGGCTCAGGTAGAGCGAGAAACAGACTGGAAGTTCGGGAAGGCTGGAAACAGGCCTCCAAAGGGCCTCCGGAGCCTGGGGAGGCCGTCTCCGCCCCCTCCTGGAGGCTCTAGGAAAGCTTCCAGAGCCTGGGGAGGTCAAAAACGACGACGCCCCCTCGCCAAGGTACAGGAGGCCAACTAGGCCACGCCCACCACGCAGAGACCCCTTGAAGTCCACCCCTGAATACAATGTTTCCCAAACAACTGCAAATAAATTCAAGAACCTAAAAAACAGTAAATCCGTTGACGGCTAAGATCCCCAAATAAAAGATGCAGACAAAATCCGTCCTTGAGAAAGTTTATTGAAAACATATCACAGCATTTTCTGCCATTTTTTATTTTGCAGGGCAATGTAAACATAATTCACAAGACTTGAGCTCTTTTAAAACTCTCTCTATGCCACCAGCTCAACCCATCTGCTCTAATGCTTGTTAGCCACCGTCTAATGTTTGCTACTATTCCTTACTTGCAGCCAGAAACCCAGCGTGTAGCGCTGCTCAAAATACTACATTCATCGCGGTTTTATAAGATTCGTCAATCTGTCGAGCAAATAGAAATCAGCAGAAGCTTGTCAGTCAAATCCAGGACACGTCTTATCTATCCGATGTTCTTGATAGGATCTGTCATGTTTCTGCTGGACAGAGAGGTAATAGAATCATGCATCTAAGGCAGGGTGCAGAAGGAAATGGAATTAATGGACAATCAGATTGAAAAGCAAAAGACAACCCAAGGCAGGGAACCATGGAAACGCCAACTCCATCCTTCAACACTAGGTCCTGCTGCAACTGGGAATCTGGGTTCATTAACAACAGGGTAGATTCGATTCCAGATCCCTGTCTGTAAGAGATCGGAAAGCGAAACCAGATAACTTTCTCCCTTCTTACATTTAGCAAAAGAAATGTGATCTCTACCATCTTTGGATCCAGAATAAGGATCACAGACACAACCCCAAAGGCCAAATCAGAAATGTTTTTAATTAGATAGAAATCAAGACACTTACAGAGAAAGTTTGAAAGTTCTGGCAGATCATGATTTTTATCTATCTGCAGGGATTCTGTACTGATAAGAAATCAGTCCTTTCGAGCTACCGTGGACAGTCCAAGATGTAAATTAAACACCTTATTGTCTGCTTTTCAAGAGTTTGGCCGTGGGAATGTGGTTAGGGGGCATTCTCTAACAACCATTCACACAAGCGGATCGAAGCACATGTTAACAATGAATTGCATAGACAAACCAGCAGAAGTCCTAAGATCTTGCCGAATGCAATGTAAAGATTGCAAACTCTACTCTGGGCAATACTCTTCAAGCATTCCTAAACACTTCAGCAGAACCTATTTTTCAAGTAAAAAAAGAAGTGAAACAGTAATTTTGACATTTCCAAATAAACATTGTTTTCCTCTAAAATTGCCCGTTTTATTCATTGGTCTTGGAAAAAGTGAAGAGTTTATACATATGTACAATGACATCATCAAACTGTTGAATTTTTTTGTTTGTTTGTTATGGGCTTTATTTTATTTTGAACTTGTTTGCACTTGTTGAAATGACCTATCAAAAGTATGGCCATACCCCTTCTGTTGCTTTTTAAGGACCATTGTATCTTGACTCAAAAGCTTCCTGTTCACGAGCTGTTTTATTAAAGCTTATTCAATACAGTTGAGGGCATAAGGACTTTACTTGATCCATGTGGACAGCAAAATTTACAGATTTAAGTACTGCTTGTTATGTGGCAGAGTAGACATGCACACTAAATAAAAGGAAACCTTTAATTAACCATACACCTCTCACCTGCCTCTAGAGAAGCAGCCAAAATTCTTCTTCAGTTGGCAATTCTTCTGAGCAAAAAATTGAAAATTGCAAAAAACATTTGACCCTCAAATAAATGCAAAACACAATATGAAACGTGGCTTTTTCTATCTCCCCTCCCTGGATATACAATATCCATTTTTCATTTCTACCAATTTTTCTCTGCAGAAGTATTCTTATTTATTACAAGTATATTCCTACCGACCTCCAAAATTCCAAGACCGTATCAAAGTTATATTTGGAAATACAAGCTTCCTCTTATCAGAATTCCAGCTTGATCATACAATCAACAATCAAGAAAATCGGTATAAAACGGCATTCAAGCAAATAGTCTTAAAAGCTGCAGCGAGGGCCATCCAGAAAAAAAGAAAAACTACTTAAACTACTTTAGAAAAAAACAGTAAAATGTCGTGAGCTGAATCTGGTTCTGTTTATACAACGGTCAGTATCTGTTTGAGATGAGCAAAGAATGCTAAAGATGTTTTTTAATCACTAAAAAAAGTTTCTGCATCGGTGGACATGGAAGGAGATAAAGCAATTTCCAGCTAATTTTCTTAAAAGGGTACAATTCTATAAGACAGCCAAAAAATCTGGGTTTTTTTTAGATTCAGCTGCAGAACTCAGTGTCTTTAATGAGTAAGGCGTTGCTCAAAATGACTCAAGTTTGGTTAGAGCAAAAGGTCAATCAGGACAGACCCGCAGATTCCTAGGAAATTTGCAATCGATCGCCAAGAATTTCTAGTCTTGACCAAGTTGCTGCTTGATGCTTTCCTCTAAAAGCCTCAGTATTCCTCATCTGTAAAATGGGCGCAACCGCTTGCTTAGAAGCTGGCTTTTGTTCTGCTCTGTTTTAGAATGAGATGCATAAATCATCAAAGCCATTTTAGTATTGTCTATAATCAGTGTTTCTCAACTACCGTGTTTCCCCGAAAATAAGACCCTGTCTTATATTTTTTTGAACCTCGAAATAAGCACTTGGCCTTATTTTCGGGGAGGTCTTATTATTTTGGGGTACGTGGAGCACGACGGGGTTCCTCTTGCCATCTTACCTGATTTCTGGCTCTGTCTCCCTAACCCTAACCAGAGGAAATGGCGGAGAGCGGCTGTACCTGCATTTAAATATTTTCGGTGAGGGCTTATTTTCGGGGGGGGGGGGGTGTTGGTATTTTAGCGCATGCACTCAAAAGCCCGATTGGTCTTATTATCATGGGATATCTTATTTTAGGGGAAACAGGGCAGATGCGTGGACGTCAGCTCCCAGAATTCCACAATCGGCCAAGCTGGCTGGGGAATTCTGGGAGTTGAAGTCCGCACACCTTAAGAGTGGCCAAGGTTGAGAAATACTGGCTTAGATTTTAGAAACCCAGATAATGATTTTGATTATGGTCAAGAAAAAGAATCAGGGGCCCAGATTAAAGGATCAGGCTAATGTAAACTCATTTTATTTACATTAATTTCCCTAAACTTCCTTATTTACATTAACTTCCTTAATGTAAACTCATTTTATTTTTGATTTGACTATTTAATTTTCAAAGATCGTTTGAGTTGCATTGGCGTTTGCTGTGCCGGATTGTTCATTCACCCTACATGAAAACAGAACAGCAGCTGCTGCTACAGATTAGCGGGACTAGCCATCAATTCCATTAATCAGGGACTCTGAAGCAATGCAATTTTAAATCCCCATTTTAGAGCAAACTCATCTTGGCTCAGGATGAAGACAGCAAAGCCTCCTTTACAAGATGGATGTAAGCGGGGAAAAAAATGCAGGGGTAAACCCTCTGAAGCTAGAACAGAAGAATATGTACAGGTAGTTCTCAATTTATGACCGTTTACTTTGCCAAAACCACACCACAGCAAACCCAGAGCAGTTAACAATGGCTGCAGAAAAAAAGTCCTAAAATCGTGACTCCTTTTATGACCGTTTTACGACTTATGACCATAACGGCAAGCCATAACTCAAAGACTGCTGCCTGCTTTTAAAACAGTGGGTTTAGAAAAGAATCTTTCTGATATTTAGATCATCCTCACTGCTATCTTAACTTTCAATCATCTGGAGGGGATCCACTCCTGGACTGTAAAGCAAATAAACATGTAAAAACGAAATAAATCTCATTTATAGAAATAACTCTGGAGAATGAAGCCAGCAGCCAGGCAGAGAGATCTACAAGAACGGATCTCCTAGCAAAACCGGGAGGATCTAGGACGTCTTCCAAATTTTTTGTTTTTTTGTTTAAAAAAAAACTTGGAAAATTGCACCACAAGAAAAAAAAAATATCGAGAGAGGAATCAGGAAACTTGCATTCCACCACAAAGACGGAAGATTTAGGGTCTGCCAAATCAGATCCCAATACGAAGTTTAAAAAAAAGATCACACATTAAAGAGAAGATCCGTTCACAGGATATATAAAAATTGTCTCTCACTCTCTCTCTCTCTCTTGGTTCTCCATACAGCTTCGGAACAAAATATGTTGTGTTTTTTTTTTTCTTTTTTAAATTAAAAAAAAGGGTCTCTGTATCGAAATATATAAAGGAAGGGGGTTCTTTTGCGGTGTTTCATTCTTCCATCATGGCCCAAACCTCTTCAGCTTTCTGATAATATTGGTTGGCTAGTCGGCCCTTCATCGCTTGCATGGCGTCTTCAGCAGCTTCCGTGAAAAGCTCTCCTGGAAGAGACAATGACAGGGGAAGACTCAATCCAATCGAGGGGGTTTCATGCACCTAAGACCCCTGGCCATGGGGTCTCATGGGACCAGGAGTGGGTTGCTGGGGGTTCGCAGAGGTTCGGGAGAAACTCGAGGTAAGATTCTGTGCAGTTCGGAGAACCCCGAAATCCCACTCCTGGCTGGCCCGGCCACCCTGTCCCTCCCCTCCCAAGAGTCCCCACGCAGCCCGTTTTGGATAGTGCAGGGTGCGCACGGAGGCTCAGGGAGGGGGAAAAACAGGCCTACTGGAAGTAGGCTGGAAAAAGGCCCATTTCTGGCCTCCAGAGAGCCTCTAGAGCCTAGGGAGGCTGTTTTCACCCTCCTGGAGGCTCGAGAAAAGCCTGTACTTACCTGTGGATGAAGGTAAGTACAGGGCGCACACAGAGGCTCGGGGAGGGCGAAAAATGGGCCTACCGGAAGTTCGGGAAGACTGGGAACAGGCCTGTTTCCAGCCTCTAGAGGGCCTCTGGAGCCTGGGGAGGCAGTTTCCGCCCTCCCAGAGGCTCAAGGAAAGCCTCTGGAGCCCGGGGAGGGCAAACCACCACTACCCATCGCTGTGGTGCAGGAGGCCAACTAGGCCACACCCACCATAGCCACGCCCACTCAGCAACCAGGCAGACAACACCTTGCTAAAATTTTTGAAGCCCACCCCTGCATGGGACCCCCCCCCCTTGGGGCCCCGGGCCAAATGGCCACGTTGCGAAGAATTTTAGAGGCTGGAATTCCCCACGGAGAAGCCCGGAACAAGCCAGCTTCGTACCTGATCTCTGCAGATCCTGGTCCAAATGAAATCCTCCTGTCATCAGCATCTCTGCCTCTTTGGCAAGGAGGAGATAACGAGGTTCATCCTGAGTGCCGTCGTACTCGCCCCCTTCGTCGTAATCGGTCATGTTCAAAGCTTTGTCGTACCAATGTAACGCTTCTTTCCAATCCTGCTCCCTGCGGGGAAAGTCGGAAAACAACAGAAGCCGACATGAACGGTCTCCCGACTTTGCTTGTCAGAGGGTCACAAAACTTGATCGTATGACATCACAGCCGTGATAAATATGAACCGCTTGCCAAGCATCTGAATTTTGATCACATGACCATGGGGGGAATGTATAGGTCATAAATTTGAAAAATAGCCATAAGTCATTTCTTTCAGTGCCATTGTAGCTTTGAATAGTCACTAAATGAACTGTTGTAAATCGAGGATTACCTGTACAGGATTACCTGTACCCTCTTGCGCGAGCTGCACTGGCTCCCGGTGGTTTTCCGGGTGCGCTTCAAGGTGTTGGTTATCACCTTTAAAGCGCTCCATGGCTTAGGACCTGGTTATCTACAAGACCGCATTCTGCCACCGATTGCCTCCCACCGACCGGTACGCTCCCACAGAGAGGGCCTCCTCAGGGTGCCGTCAGCCAAAGAATGTAGACTGGCGACCCGCAGGGGGAGAGCCTTCTCTGTGGGGGCACCTACCCTCTGGAATCAGTTGCCCCCGGACATACGAAGGATCCCCGACCTCCGCGCCTTCCGTCGTGCAGTGAAGACCCTGTTATTCCAGCAAGCCGCTCTGATGGGATAAATGATCTTAATTTGGTTTTAATGGGGTTTTAAAAATTGGTTTTAAAATGAGAGTTTTCAATTCGGCCTATGATTTAATTATTTTAATCTGCTTTTAAATTCTGATTTTTGTACGTTGTTTTTATTATGGCTGTTCACCGCCCCGAGTCCTTCGGGAGAAGGGCGGTATAAAAATAAAAAAATAAAAAAAAATAAAATAATAAAATAAAATAAAATAATAAAATAATAAACAAAATAAAATAATAAACAAAATAAAATAATAAAATAAAATAATAATAAAATAAAATAAAATAAAATATAATATAAAATAAAATAAATAAAATAAAATAAAATAAAATAAAATACTAAAATAAAATAAAATAAAATACTAAAATAAAATAATAAAATAATAAAATAAAATAAAATAAATAAAATAAAATAAAATAAAATAAAATAAAATAAATAAATGTATAGGGATGAACTACGTAAGAGTACCTGTCTGGCGCCAGGTTCACGCCTGTGTCGTAAGCTCTCGCGACAAGAATCATGGAAGGACGGTCTCCAGCTTCGGCTGCTCGGCACAAATACTCGAAGCCCTTGGTTCTGTTTTGCTTTGTGTCCTACAGAAGACGTGGAAGCGGGTGAAAGAAAAAAGAAAGGCCGATAACAGAAAATATCTGTAGCTCAGGGTTGAAATGAGGGGGGTCTTGGGTGCTTTCAGAGCTTGGTGGTTTTCTTGCAGGCATTTCAGGACCCAACGAGGGAACATCATCAGTGCTAGAAGGGAGTGGTTTTGTGGATGGAGAAGGAGAAGAGGAAGAGAAAGGGGGAGGAGGAGGAGGAAGAACAGGAGGAAAAGGAGGAGAGGAGAGGAAAAGGAGAGGGGGAGGAAGAGGACCAGAGGAAGAGGACTATGGGGTCTTTGGTGGTCTGAGCTTGGTGGATTGATTGATTGGTTTGATTAATTGATTGACTAATTGATTGATTGATTGATTGGTTCGATTTATATGCCGCCCTTCTCCGGAGACTCAGGGCGGCTTACAATGCGTTAAGCAACAGCCTTCATACTTTTGTATATACCTGCTTAGTAGGGCTTTCGGGGGACCCCCCAAGCGGTGTTCTTTTTTTATACAAAGTCAGCTTATTGCCCCCACAATCCGGGTCCTCATTTTACCTTCCTCGGAAGGATGAGAAGGCTGAGTCAACCTTGAGCCTGGTGAGATTTGAACTCACAGTAATTGCAGGCAGCTGGTGTTACTTAACAGTGCTTTAGTCTGCTGCGCCACCAAGGCTCTTTTGAATTTTCCTGCAGATGTTTCATGACCCAACTAGGGAACAACATCCTTGCTAAAAGGGAGTGGGGTTTGTGGAGAGGAGGAGGAGAACTGTGGGATCCTTGGTGCACTCTGGTGGTTCTCTTTGCAGAAGAGTGGTTCTCTTTGCAGAAGTTTCATTACCCACACTAGATAACATAATCGAGCTGAAAAATAACGTGTGGATCTTTGCAACCCAACTATCTCACTTAGCAACATAAATTTGGGGCTCAATTGCGGTCGTAAGTCAAGGACTGCCTGTAGTTACTGTTGTGGCTCCGTTACCTGAGCCTGTGTCATCGGCAGGAGAGGACTCTGAGAGTGAACGGGAGGAGTTGGCAAGGCCTCCCTCTCCAGGACCCTCCTCTCTGGCAATGCCTTCGGTGCCTGCCGAAGGCAAGAGATAGGGCCGGGGCCAAGCACGTCCACGCAGCCACAGGTGGACAGTGATGAGGAGATGAGTCTTGGCTGGATCCTCGGCAGCATTGCAGAGATAAGCGCGCGCAACAGAAGAAAAGGCGTGCCAGAGATTAAGCTGAGTCACTGGACCACACCCCACAGGGTATAAAAGGGGGTGAGGTGGCCAATCAGACTCTGTGACGGACAAAACTAACTACTATCGAGTCACATTGCATCTTTGGAAACAACATTATCGGCCTTGGATTTATTTTACGAACTGGACAATTCTTGAACTGTGTGTATTTTGTTTATGAGTAAAGTTCTTGGCAAGCAGCTACTGGGTTGCTGCCAAGCTTCTTATCGGAAGAATTGATTGTCTGCCAGTTTATTTAACCCCCGGCTGTCTGTTTGTGTGTGTGTGTGTGAGACGGGGACAAAACAGTTACCTGTAGAATGACTTCTGCAAGTATGTGATGAGGTAGCTGAGAATACATGAGGCCCAGCCCCACGATGGCTTCCAGTTCTCCACACTCGGCTGCATGTTCCAGATGGAAGAGAGCTGAATCTTGGTCCCACTCTTGATCCTTTTCGCAAAATCGGCCAGCTTCGTGGTAACGAACCATGGCCAGGTGAACCTAATTGAGAGGAGGGAGGGGGGAAAAGGCTGTAATGGTACCTAGGAAAGACCATGGGAGACGGGTAGAGATGCTGCTTAGGCAGGGGTGGGCTGCTGGGGGTTCGCAGGGGTTCGAGAGAACCTCTAGCTAAGATTCTGTGCAGTTCGGAGAACCCTCAAATACCACTCCTGGCTGGCCCCACCCGCCCCTCCCCGCCCCTCCCAGGGGTCCCCATGCGGTCCGTTTTGGATGCAGGTAAGTGCAGGGTGCATGTAGAGGCTCAGGGAGGGCGAAAAACGGATGTTCGGGAAGCCTCTAGAGGGGCTCTGGAGCCTGGGGAGGCCATTTTCTCCCTCCCGGAGGCTTGAAGAAAACCTCCAGAGCCCAGGAAGTGCTAAAATGCCCCCACCCCCATGGTGCAGGAGGCCGACTAGGCCACACTGACCATGACCACACCCACCCAGCAACTGAGCAGAGACCCCCTTGCTAAAATTTTTGAAGCCCACCCCTGTGCTTAGGGAATGATTAGATAAGAGGCCACTTAGCCCTCACCTTTCCAAGGATGGACTTCCCAATCTTCTTCTCCAGCTCCAGGCCATTGAGTCTCTGAACCTCTACCGCAACACAAGAAGGTCTGTGAATGTGAACTCGGGCAGCGTTGTAGAGATTCCATTTCTCCACGCAGACCTGGAAGAGAGGGGACGTCCATCAGATCTTTCAGTCCGACGTCCACGGAGATTCTCAATCATCCAAGTTACGACGGTCCCAAAGGTGCTTTTCCGAAAGTCAGCTGGACTTTCTTGTTGGTTTGTTTTGTTTTTTTCCTTGAAAATGTTTAGCTTCTCATTCAGAACTGGAAAAACCTCATGGGTGAGAACCAAGATGTTTTCAAGGGAGAAAAAACCCCCCAAGAAAGTCCAGTTGCCTTTTTTGGAAAAGCACCTTTGGTTCAGTCTGAAGGGTTAAGAGAAAGAAAGCGAGGAGAAGCAAAAGAAGGCCTCCTACTTCACATCTTCACCCTCTACGTTCTTCTCACTGAGCTTCTTCACAGCCTACTGCTGAAGTCCAGCAGCAGAAGACTTATCTGGCCAAAAATGGCTCCATGGTGGAACTCCAAAACTTCTTTCGTAAGTTAAAAAAAACGTTCACACTGAAATCTTAGAGAGCGCTTTTCTCAGCCATGAAATATGTCAGTGGTGGGTTTCTACTGGTTTGGCCCGGTTCAGCCGAGCCGGTAGTGATGATGGTGAGCTGAGAGCGAACCGGTTCTCTCTGATGGTTATTTTGCCCCTCCCGCCCGCCCCTGCGTTATAAATACCTTATATTTGGTCGTTTTTAGCCCAGCTGAAAGGTGCGGCAGAGCGGATTGACGCGTCTCAGCTGTTCTGTAATACACTGCGCTTGCGAGCAGCGCAAGTTTGGCGTGAGTGCGAGCGAAGAGCGTGCATAATGCGAACTTGTAGTAACACTAGTTGAAATCCACCACTCAGGGGTGGGTTCTAATTTTTTTTACTACCGGTTCTGTGGGCGTGGCTTATTTTGTGGGCGTGGCTTATTTTGTGGGCATGGCTTGATGGTCATGTGACAATTCTTTAGGATTTTGCAGAGGTACTAGTCTACCAGGCTTTTAACTGCTTGCAGAGCTGCACCGGTCTACCCATTTGTTTTTGGAGGCACCGGTCTACTCATTTATTTTTGGAGTCACCGGTCTACTCATTCGTTTTTGGAGGCACTGGTCTACTCATTTGTTTTTGGAGGCACCAGTCTACTCATTTGTTTTTGGAGGCACTGGTCTACTCATTTATTTTTGGAGTCACCGGTCTACTCATTTGTTTTTGGAGTCACCGGTCTACTCATTTGTTTTTGGAGGCACCGGTCTACTCATTCATTTTTGGAGTCACCGGTCTACTCATTTGTTTTTGGAGGCACCGGTCTACCACCACACTGCCTTTTAACACTGATCAGCTATAGGGCGGCCCTTTGAAGCCCCACGGCAAGAGTTTAAACAGTTTTTTTCCTTCTAGCCGATCAGCTGGGACTCGGGAGGCAGTAATAGATTGAGGGTGGAGCCAAATAAAAGAATAACGCAGGGGGTGAGCGCGGGGGGCCAGCTCCCGAACAAACAGAACCGGTTCGGTGACGTCATATTGTCACCGCTACCGGCTCGGCCGAACCGGGCCGAACCGGGAGGAACCCACCACTGCCACCACTGGACTACGTACACACATCATGTAAGCCGCAACTTGTTGGGTTAAGACAGACTGTCTGAATTCACCATGAACTGATCTAAGTAGACCAGATCAGAAAATGAACTCCAGCCAAAGACCACAATGACACTTTATTAAGATGGGCTAGGACTGTGTGTGTTTCTCAACCTTGCAACTTTTAAGAAGCGTGGACTTCTTCCAACTCCCAGAATTCCCCAGCCAGCCAGGAAGCCAGGACCGTACCCCTAGAGATTTTCATACGTGTGTGCATGCACCCATTGATATGTCTGCAGCGAGCGCAAAGAGACACAATCACATTGAGAGCACGCTTCACACCGGACACGTAAACAGGAAGAGTTAAAACTATTTCCAGTACATAAAATTTTCAACAGAAGTGACAAAATGTGCATTGCAACAGCGTGCCGTGAGTTCTGCTCCTTGAGAACATCACAACAAGCGTCCCACAGGAGGGGAAGTTTGTTTTGTGATAACGCAAATCATATTTTATCCTCCACTTCCCTGCAGGCATCCCTGAACTAATCTGTATTAGGAAAGAAATGTGTTTTCAACAGCTAAGCATTTAAGCACACTCTCACATTAGGTACGTGGTAAAAGGTAAAGGTAAAGGTTCCCCTCGCACATATGTGCTAGTCGTTCCCGACTCTAGGGGGCGGTGCTCATCTCTGTTTCAAAGCCGAAGAGCCAGCGCTGTCCGAAGATGTCTCCGTGGTCATGTGGCCGGCATGACTCAATGCCAAAGGCGCACGGAACGCTGTTCCCTTCCCACCAAAGTGATCCCTATTTCTCTACTTGCATTTTTTATGTTCTTTCGAACTGCTAGGTTGGCAGAAGATGGGACAAGTAACAGGAGCTCACCCCATTATGCAGCACTAGGGATTCGAACCGCTGAACTGCCAACTTATCGATCGACAAGCTCAGCATTTTAGCCATTGAGCCACCAAGTCCCTTAGGTACGTGGTAGGGAGCAGTGGTGAAACGTAAAGTTTGTTACTAGCGGTTCTGTGGGGGTGGCTTGGGGGAGGGTTTAATGTGACTGAATGGGCCTGGCCAACTTTTTTTTTAAAAAAAAACTTTTTAAAGCATTTTTTCTACAACCTTAAGAGGCTGCAGGAGAAAATGCTTTTAAAAGCCTCTGACGATCAGGTAACTCAGCTGGGATCGCCAGAGGCTTTTAAAAGCAGTTTTTTTTCTACAATCTCTTCGGCGGAAGAGGTTGTAGAAAAAATGCTTTTAAAAGTCTCTGACGATCCCAGCTGAGCCGCGCGATCATCAGAGGCTTTTTCTTTTTACTTTTAAAAGCATTTTTTCGGCCGAAGAGGTTGTAGAAAAAATGCTTTTAAAAGTAAAAAAAAAAAAAAGCCTCTGATGATTGCACGGCTCAGCTGGGCATGGGGGTGTGCAGGGATTTTTGCTACTGGTTCTCCGAACCACCCGCTGCCATCACTACCGGATCAGGCGATCCGGTCCGAACCGGGAGCATTTCACCCCTGGTAGGGAGTCCCAAAGGAGCTAATATGGCCACTCTGGATTACAACTTTAAAAACATTTAAAAATCGCGATGCTGGTGCACACACTCCAAATTCTGGAGTTGTTTGCCAAGAGCCCAAAACAGCCGAAGAGAAGAACAAGCCAAAAAACCCAGAGATAGAATAAAATCCATGCAGAATCACCCTTTTGTTCCTGAAACTCGGTTTAGCGGTCTCAGACAGTTTATTTCTCTAATAATTGGAAAGAGAAAGAATTAAACAGGAAGAAGGAAGAAGAAAGAGGCGTAAACCACAAGTGAAAGGTTCTTCAGCGATTCAGGGAAAACTAAACCACTTTGGTGAGCAGGTCATCTGGCATAAAGCAAACCCAATGTGATTTTTTTTTTAGGAAAAATCGGATTTCTTTACCCGAGCAGAACTTCCCAAGCTGTCTTCATCAGATTCATGTCTGCGGTTGCAGTTAAGATGACCCTAAGAAGGGGGAAAAAAAGAGAACAATTTAATTCAGGTTTGAATGAAAAGCATTTGTAAAATCTTCATCTTCTAAAAAATAAAATAAAATAAAATAAAATAAAATAAAATAATGGCCCAGTGTCAACTGGGAGACTAACTTAAAAATGAGGCAAGTTAAATATTTAAAAGATCTGAACGGACATTTTTGTGTTCCTATTTTTAAGCCAGGCCATAGAGAGACACTCAAAACACTGAGAAATGCTGTTTTTTCTGGTATGGATTTTGTCCTATATTCAGGGATGGGCTTCAAAAATTTTAGCAAGGGGTTCTTTGCCCGGTTGCTGGGTGGGTGTGGCCATGGTGGGCGTGGCCTAGTCAGCCTCCTGCACCACAGCAGGGAGGGGGGGAGAGCTTTTTGCCCTCCCCAGGCTCTGGAGGCTTTCCTCGAGCCTTTGGGAGGGCGAAAACGGCCTCCCCAGGCTCCGGAGGCCCTCTGGAGGCCGAAACGGGCTTCCCGAACTTCCGGTAGGCCTGTTTTTCGCCCTCCCTGAGCCTCGGTACGTGCCCTACAGTTACCTGTATCCAAAACGGGCCACGTGAGGACTCCTGGGAGGGGTGAGGCAGGGTGGGTGGAGCCAGCCAGGAGTGGGATTTGGGGGTTCTCCGAACTGCAAAGAATTTTAGCTAGAGGTTCTCCCGAACCCCCAGCAGCCCATCGTTGCCTATATTATTTCTTATGGAGAAAGGAGCAGAAAGAAATTGATCACCAATACGGTGTGGCATTACACTCCTGTGATTTCAAAAAACAGGTTATGGAAACCGCTGGGCTAACCTCCCTCCTTGCGGTCTAAATAAAAAACAAGTTACAGGTAGCCCTCGTATGTATGAAATGGAAAAAGGCATTACTGTTCTGACCTAGGCTTCCCAAGATCATGAAGCAGACTCCTTGTCCTGACAAAAAAACCCTTTTTATTAAGTGACTGTGAATTCCTCTCATTCACATCCAGCCAAGTCTTTCAAGGGAGAATTTGCAGTCACAGATCTCATCTGGCTTGGAGAGCTGCCAGGCCGATATCTTCAAAACTTGGCAAGAAATCTCTGAGTCAGGAACCAATTAAGTGAACTAATTGTCTCCTGCAAGCTCCACTCCCCTTCGCTCCTCTTTATTCCCTATGGGAGGGGCCATCCATCTCTGGCTTTACTCCTGAGTCGACCCTTGTTCCTTAATTGTTCCCTTCTCCTGGCAGCTCTGCGCATGCATACACTGAGAACAGGCTCCAACTGTTCTTCTGCCCCACTGATGTCCGACTCCGAAGGCAGCTGACAACTGTCAGACGGCCCTGGCCCCATCTCTGCCTCCGACGCAGAGCACCCATCAGTGCCTTCCCCAGACTCCAAGACTGGCCCATGTTCCTTCCCAACCTCCTCACTGTCCGAGTCTGCTACCAGCTCTGCTGGCGGGCCACAACAATTACCTTTTCCCGGTGATCCATGTCTTCGTGATCACTCCTTTTCTCACTGGGGCATCCACTGTCCCCTCCATTTTCAGAATCCTAAGGATAAAAACAGGGGAGAAAAACAAGACTTTTCGGGTACCCTTATTTTATAGACGGAACTTCGTCGTTCTCTATGAGTCCTATCGAGTTGGGAACGGTATTATAAATCCTTGTGGGCTGAGATCCTCCAACCCAAATTAGGAAGCAGGATTTAAATCATGGGGGACCCAGCTCTGCCCTTCTAGATTATGATGGGAAATTTCACCCAGTAATATCTGAAGGATGTGAAAGTTTCGTTTTCTTCCGTTGGGAAGGACCATCAAAGCAGCCCATCATTCTGGTCCACCTGGAGATGATGGAACTGGTCCTCCATGCATTGAGTAATGGAAACTCAAGAGGAGAGCAATATTTGAACATCACAATGGAGAGAAAGGTCTGTCTTGATACCACACTGCAGTAGAGGTCTCCAAATTTGACATCTTTAAAGAGTTGTGGACTTCAACTGGTTAAGCACGGTTAACTTCTAACAACTGGTTCCTTTCCACTTAAAACATGGCTGGCTGGGGAATTCTGGGAGTTGAAGTCCACAAGTCTTAAAGTTGCCAGTTTTGGAGACTCCTGTAAAGTTAGAGCATCTTAGGAGGTTAAAAAAACCCAGCTGATTTTTGTTTCCATCAACCCAATAGTTGCCTCTTCCAGGACCCTAAACCATGGCTTGTTTCAACCACCATTTTAATGAGCAAATTACAGTTTGTGTGGCTGACAAAAACCCTGCCTTATAAGCACCAGGGCCTCAATGTACGCATCACTCTAAACCCAACCCAAACTCTTCAGGGCCGAGCAAAATGTGCGAATCCAGGTAGGTCTACCAGGAACTTACCCGCTGATTATCAAGGCCTTCGTGGTCTTTGTGAACCAAATTGTCGACTTCATTAAAGACAGGCCAATCTAGGTTAAAACAAAGGATTTCGCTCTTTAAGCAAGGATGTTCATGGAACAGTTGCAAGTCAGTTTTTTTTTTAGCACTGTCGTAACTTCAAACGGTCAGTAAATGATCGGTGGTAAGTCCAGGACTACCAGGACAGCATTTTATTAATAAATATATACAAATTTATGCTTAAAACCCTCTTGTTCCAGCAAGCCGGACTGGCCTAATACGAATTTTATTACGGGTGTATGTGTGTTTTAATTTGCGGGCCAATTTTATATATTGATTTTAATTTTGTTTTAAATTTTATAAATCTATGTGTTTTAATATGGCTGTGCACCGCCCTGAGTCCTTCGGGAGAAGGGTGGTATAGAAATCTAATAAACTTCAAACTTAAAAAAATGTTAATTGTGTATTTCAGTCAAGCTGGAGCGAATTACCTTACAGGTAAGTCCTCGACTTACAACACAATTGAGATCAGAATTTCTATTGCAAAGCAAAGCACTTGCTAAATGAGTCACACCTGATTTTATGACCTTTTTGCACCCTGGTTGTTAAGTGAACTATTGCAGTTTTTAAATGAATCATACAGTCGTTAAAAGCAAATCTGCTTTAACCTGTTGACTTGGGAGTTTGTCAGAAACTGGCTGGGAAAGTTACAAATTGTGATCACGCGACACTCAACCGTCATGAGTACATGCCAGTTGCCAAGTGCCCAAATTCTTACCATGTAACCATGGGTTGTTACGACGGTCGTACAAGTAAGTCCTTGAGTTGCGACCGCTGAGTGCAAAACTTATGTTGTTAAGTGAAACATTTGTTAAAAATAACCACATCTGAGCACTTACGAAGGCCCTCCAACTTTTGGCTGTGAGGCGTGGCTGAAGACGGCGAGGAGGGCAAGGAGTCGAATGCCATGTCGCTCATGCTTTCATCCCCTGAGTTTTCGGAAAGACGGAAAAGGAGGGGGGGACGGCTGCCAGAGACGGTTCGCACCCGGCTACTGCCACACTTCTCTTCCGTACCCCGCACAACAGTCTGAGCCGATTCCTGGGCAGAGAAACACAAAACCTCAACCAGGAACTTCCTTCAACAAACACGTCTCTGCTGAAATGGGAGCAGGTCCTATTGCTGCCCATTCAAAAGGGAGTGAAAATTTGATTTACCGTATTTTTCAGAGTATAAGACGCACCTTCCCCCCCTAAAAATTTGGGTGCGTCTTATACACCGAATGTAGCCCCGCCCACCCACTGGCCCCCACCCTTTGGCCTCTGCCTCCCAGCAGTTTACCTCCTTGCAAGCAAACAGCAAGAAGAAACAGCTCCTTTCAGCTTCAGCACAGCCTAATTAGCACAAGTTGATTGGATGGGCCTCCCGACTCTCAGCTGTTTTGCTCTCAGCTGTTTTGCTCTGCTGCTTGCTGCAAGGAGGTAAATTGTTGGGAGCAGATTTTTTTTTTCCTTGTGCTAATCAAGCTATGCTGAAAACGAAAATGAAAGTAAAGCAGGCTGTTTGCTGCAACGAGGCAAAATTGCTGGGAGGCAGATTTCTTTTTCTTGTTTGTCCTACCAAAAAAGGTAGGTGCATCTTATAGTCCGGTGCGTCTTATACTCCAAAAAATACAGTAGTTTCAACTTTTTTTTTTTAATTTGATTTATATGCCGCCCTTCTCTGGAGACTCAGGGCGGCTTACAATGTGTTAAGCAATAGCCTTCATACTTTTGTATATTTATACAAAGTCAGCTTATTGCCCCCACAAACTGGGTCCTCAATTTACCTACCTTAGAAAGGATGGAAGGCTGAGTCAACCTTGAGCCTGGTGAGATTCGAACTTACAGTAATTGCAGACAGCTGGTGTTAATCACAATGCTATCAGTCTTATAAATCAATATCAGGAAAACTTATAATGTAAGCCAAGTTTCAGTTCGAATAACGGTGGGTTCATGAACCAGACCGTCTTCACAAAATGGGCCCCCAGCAATTCCTTAGATTCAAAGCACCTTTCCCGGCAATACTTACAAGTAGTTTGCTACTGCGAAATAAGGCGTCCTTCTCTTTGGAGGAGAGATCAAAAGGCATCAGCCTCATACTTTGACAAATCCGGTTGCAGGAGTGAGAATGGAAGAACAAGGCCATCCCTCGCACACCTGGGACAGGTAGAAAACCATCCAGAGAAAGAATGAGGAATCGTTTCGAGATGCAAAGCCTTACATGGAAGCCTAGCGATTTTTCTCAAAGTCAAGATCCATTCAGACAAATCAGCCATCAACAGACACATAGAGATTAACCATATGTACACATCATTTAAAGGAGGCAATTTAAAAAAAAAAGACTAGAAAACACCTTCTACAGCAACCAATATACCAGATAAGCAGGGATGAACACCAGACAAACAATCAAGAAGAAAACAATACCCTAATCAAGGAACTGCCAAGGAGAAAACAACACCCCTACCAACGTTGGCAGGGCAGGCTACTATATATAAACAGGGAGCAAACCCCCACACCCCCTTGCACTGATGATGTTACCTAGACAGATAAGGAAACGTCTGCAAGCCAACAACCAAACTTAGAAGGACCAAGGACTCCACCACAGCATCGTAATACAGGTAGTCCTCAGGTAGTCCTTAATTTATGACCACAATTGAGCCCCAAATTTCTGTTGCTGAATGAGACATTTGTTAACTGAGTTTTGCCCCATTCTCATCTGCACACTGGAACCACGTTTAAAGATTGTTCCTTCCAAGGATGGAAGCATCCCAATAGATCCCGACTGACGAGAATGTGATTAGGAAAATATTAGAACGTGCAGAAATGAACAGATTAACGCTTGCAATTAAAGAGAAAGGACAAATTGAATATTTATATGACATGGGAATTATTTTATCGATGGTTAGAGAATAAAACTGGAAATTGGCCACAAAAGGAGATTAGTGAAATGTAGAAAACGTGTTAAGGTACAGATATAAACAATATCATGATTGCTGCTATGGTGACTATTAGGATTATTACTATTAGGATTATTAGTATTATTATTATATTTTTATTAGAAGATATGTAAAGAGGGGGAAAATGAACATATTTATTATGCTCAATATTACTACTGCAAGATCAGAAAATTATTATTAATGTAATGAATACTGTTGAAGATTTTGATGGTTATTGCACAGAGCGGTGTAGGGTTTCCTGCCTAAGCAGGGGGTTGGACTAGAAGACCTCCAAGGGCCCTTCCAACTATTCTATTCTATTCTATTCTATTCTATTCTATTCTATTCTATTCTATTCTATTCTATTCTATTCTATTCTATTCTATTCTATTCCATTCCATTCCATTCCATATTTTCTCTATTCTATTCCATTCCATTCCATTCCATCATTCTATTCCATTCCATTCCATTCCATTCCATCATTCTATTCCATTCCATTCCATTCCATTCCATTATTCTATTCCATTCTATTCCATTCCATTCCATTCCATATTTTCTCTATTCTATTCTATTCCATTCCATATTTTCTCTATTCTATTCTATTCCATTCCATATTTTCTCTATTCTATTCTATTCCATTCCATTCCATTCCATATTTTCTCTATTCTATTCCATTCCATTCCATTCCATATTTTCTCTATTCCATTCCATTCCATTCTATTCTATTCTATTCTATTCCATTCCATTCCATTCCATATTTTCTCTATTCTATTCCATTCCATTCTATTCCATTCCATTCTATTCCATTCCATATTTTCTCTATTCTATTCATTCCATTCCATTCCATTCCATTCCATTCTATTGATATTTGTACCCAGACGACAAACTGTTGAATGGAAGATGGGATGTTTATATTAAAAAAATTATTTTTTATTTTTAAAAAGGATGGAAGTCTCTCAGAACTGAAGCTGATCCCTTCTCCAACATTCCCGAACCCCTGAAGAAGTTAAGTCACCCCAAAGGACAATTGATCGCTCTGTTTTTTTTTACCGAGATTCCCGTCCCCGAAATCCGTGCCGCTCTCAGTATGGATCTGAGGATCTGTGTACAGGTCTCCAACTCCTTGGATGTCCACAATGATCAGCTGGTGTCCGGAGCGTTCAAAGGTGAAATGACTGAAGGCCTGCAAGAGAACGGACGTAACTTCAAACGGTCACTAAATGAACTGTTGTAAGTCGAGGACTACCTGTATTTCCTGTTTTATTGTCTTTATCTGCTTCGCTATTAGTGAATTGACTGGACAAGTCCGTGCAGTTCTCTTAGTGGGATTTCAATGGGCGGCCATTGAATGCTTCTTAGGGCTAAGAGAGAGTGGCTGGCACAAAGTCACCCCCGTTGGCTTCGTACCTCTAACCTTAACCTTACCAAATAGGCTCTTTAAGCTCATCCATCACCCACTGAATTGCCAGGGAAGAAAGTCCTACCTGCGGGGTCAGACGGATGTTGTCGTCTCGTACGAATCCCGAGTTCGAATTGTACTTGATGTATTTCCCCTCAATGTAATGTTCCAGGTGGTAAAGAGGTCGCCCCGGTCTGTTCTTCATTTCAATTATGCAGGTCTGGACAATATCTACCTGAGGAAAAGAGGAAGAGGAAGAGAAATAACTGACAGAGAAGAGGGTTCAATAGTTCTCTCCAAGATTCTTTAACAGATTACCAGAGTTGGAAGGGACCTTGTAGGTCATCTAGTCCAACCCCCCCGCCCAAGCAGGAGACCCTACACCATTTCTGACAGATGGCAGTCCAATCTCTTCTTGAAAGCCTCCAATGATGAAGCTCCCTCAACTTCTGAAGGCGACTTCTGTTCCATGGGTTGATTGCTCTCTCAGTCAGGAAATTTCTCCTTATTTCTAGGTTGAATCTCTCCTTGTTCACTTTCCATCCATGATTCCTTGTCTGGCCTTTGGGTGCTTTGAAAAATAGCTTGACCCCCTCCTCTCTGTGGCAGCCCCTCAAATATTGGAAGACTGCTATGATGTCTCCTCTGGTCCTTCTCTTCACTAGACTAGCCATGCCCAGTTCCTGCAACCGTTCATCGTATGTTTTAGCCTCCAGTCCCATCATCATCTTGTTTGCTCTTCTCTTTCTAGAGTCTCCACATCTTTTTTTATAATGTGGTGACCAAAACTGGATGCAGGATTCTAGGTGTGGCCTTACTAAGGCTTTATAGAGTGGTTTTAGTACCTCCCTTGGCCTTGATTGTATCCCTCTGTTAATGCAATTTAGGATTGCGATTTAGGATTCTGCGCGAGGACATACCTGCTTGGGGGGCTTATGGCGGTTATATTCTTCTCCCCATAACTTGGCCTCCATCTGCAGCCGCACATCCTCAAAATAGACGTCCCGGCTGACCGTCTCGATGTACCTCTTGGCCACGTAATTAAAGGCCCCCTTCCAATTATGCATGTGGAGGAAATTGGTCAGCTTTTTCCTAAAAAAAGACCGAGAGAAACAAATGTCCAGCGAAGCTAGGATAGTAATAGCACTTAAGACTTGTATACCGCTTTATAGTGCTTTGCAGCCCTCTCTAAGCGGTTTATAGAGTCAGCATCTTGCCCCCAACAATCTGGGTCCTCGCTTTACTGACCTTGGAAGGAAGAGTCTTGGTAGTACAGGGGTTTAAGGCACCCTGTTATTAAGCTGGTTATTAAGACCAGCTGCCTGCAATTACTGCAGGGTTCGAATCTCGCCAAGGCTCAAGGTTGACTCAGCCTTCCATCCTTTCTAAGGTAGGTGAAATGAGGACCCAGTTTGTGGGGGCAATAAGCTGACTTTGTATAAATATACAAAAGGATGAAGGCTATTGCTTAACACATTGTAAGCTGCCCTGAGTCTTCGGAGAAGGGCGGCATATAAATCAAAAAAAAAAAAAAAAAGAGTCAACCTTGAGCAGGTCGGGATCGAACTCCTGGTATATGGGCAGAGTTAGCCTGCAATACTGTATTCTAACCACTAGGAAGGAAGGAAGGAAGGAAGGAAGGAAGGAAGGAAGGAAAGAAGGAAGGAAGGAAGGAAGGAAGGAAGGATAGCAAGAGCAAGAGCCGAGGTGGCGCAGTGGTTAGAGTGCAGTACTGCAGCTACTTCAGCTGACTGCTAGTTCAGCAGATCAGCGGATCAAATCTCACCAGGCTCAAGGCTGACTCAGCCTTCCATCCTTCCGAGGTGGGTAAAATGAGGACCCAGATTGTTGGGGGCAAGAGGCTGACTCTGTAAACCGCTTAGAGAGGGCTGTAAAAGCACTGTGAAGCGTCATATAAGTCTAAGTGCTATTGCTATATCCACCACCGTTTGTTCCATTTCATTTCTAATTTCACAAAGAGTAAGTGGGTGGCGATTTTCCGGGGTATTTTGCAACGGGTGAAAAGCTTTCGCTCCAGATTCGCACTTTCATTCTTTCCTTGGCACCAGCTTTCTTATCTTGATTTAAACCTCAGGCATAAACTGAGATGAATTAAACCAAGAAAATGGAGCTTTTTTTTTTTTTTTTTCAAACCACGGAGGTCTAGAAACAGCTGCACACACTTACGTCCGGAAGCATTCGCGCATCGCTCCTCGGCCAAAAGGCTGGAAAAACAAAACAGAGGTTATTACAGGTAGTCCTCAACTTACGGCCATTCGCTTAGAGATCATTCAAAGTTACAATGGCACTGAAAAAAAGTGACTCATGACCATCCTCGCACTTATGACCGTCATCCCCATGGTCACATGACCGAAATTTGGGCGTCAGGCAACCAGCATCAATTTATTTATATATTATTTATTTATTAGTTCGATTTATATGCCGCCCTTCTCCGGAGACTCAGGGCGGCTTACAATGCGTTAAGCAATAGCCTTCATACTTTTGTATATACCTGCTTAGTAGGGCTTTCGGCCCCCCCTAAGTGGTGTTCTTTTTTATACAAAGTCATCTTATTGCCCCCACAATCCGGGTCCTCATTTTACCTACCTCGGAAGGATGGAAGGCTGAGTCAACCTTGAGCCTGGTGAGATTCGAACTTGCAGTAATTGCAGGCAGCTGGCAGCTAAAAGCATTTTTTTCGGCCGAAGAAAAAATGCTGCACCACCAAGGCTCTTAAAAGGCTTTTTATGATGGTTGCAGAGTCCTGGGGGGGTCATATGAAGTCAACCTGCTAGCTTTGGATGAGCAAAGTGAATGGCAGAAGCTGGATTTGCGTAAAGACCATACGATTCATTCAATGACCATGGCGATTTGTTTAACAACCAGAGTAAAAAAAAAAAAAGTCTGCACTTCTTACCTGCGCAGCCATTTTGATCAAGACCTCGTCTTCGATCCATTCTCCAGTAACGGCATTGTACCTGCCCAATTTAAAAGAAAGGAAATTTAAAAAGGACCGCCTTGTTAAAATGCAAAAATGAGAGGAATATATTATATTCCATTGCGTGGTCCTGAATTGTTGCTTCTGATTGTTTTCACAGGTTGTTAACCACTCACGAGTTGTGCCTGCGAGGTGGACGACCCGATCAGCTGATTTCGTAAATGAATAAATAAATCTGGGACGTTGTGTGAAGCCACCATTGCGTCAATGCAGCTTTCTCTCACCCAAAGCACCCTATAAACCAGGGATGGCTAACCTTTTTGCCGTTGTGTGCCAAAAACGGGGAAAGCGCAGGGGGTTCGTGAACATGAGTGCCACACCCATAATTCAATGCGCCCTGCCCCCTCGTGCACCAAAGACAAATTCCTTGTGTGTCCAATCACACTTGGCCCATAAAGAATTCTATTCCATTCCATTCCATTCCATTCTATTCCATTCCATTCCATTCTAATTTTCTATTCTATTCTATTCTCTATTCTATTCCATTCCATTCCTCTCTATTATTCTATTCTATTCTATTCTATTCTATTCTATTCTATTCTATTCTATTCTATTCTATTCTATTCTATTCCATTCCATTCCACTCCACTCCACTCCACTCCACTCCACTCCACTCCACTCCACTCCACTCCACTCCTGTAAATTTAAGAGGATTAAGTAAGAAACTAGAATAGAATAGAATAACAGAGTTGGAAGGGACCTTGGAGGTCTTCTAGTCCAACCCCCTGCCCAGGCAGGAAACCCTACACCACTTCAGACAAATGGTTGTCCAATCTCTTCTTAAAAACTTCAAGTGTTGGAGCATTCACAATTTCTGGAGGCAAGTTGTTCCACTGATGAATTGTTCTCACTGTCGGGAAATTTCTCCTTAGTTCTAAATTGCTTCTCTCCTTGATTAGTTTACACCCAATGCTTCTTGTTCTACCCTCAGGTGCTTTGGAGAATAGTTTGACTCCCACTTCTTTGTGGCCCAAACTAACCCAATTAGATGGGTTCACGCCACATACTTTAAGCAGTACAAATCAGTGTTTTTCAAACTTGGCAACTTTTAACTTTTTTTTTTCCATAAGGTGAAAAAGAAACGAAGGGGGGAAAAAAATCAAAACACGGCTTACATAAACCCCAGATCTTGTAAAGCAATCAATCAGAAACAACTAGCAAAGCCTTGAATAAATGCCTCCTTTCTGGAATGCAAGGAACATGAGAAAACCAGACAAGGAACACGAGACAAACGTGTTTGTTTGCACTAGGGATTTTGCTCTGGTCAAAGGTTAGCCTGGTGCATGCACATTCTCCACGCTTCTCTTTGCTCCTTAGGGGGGGGTTTTCGGGTTGGGGTAGGGCTAAACATTGCGTTCTGGCATTGCTGAACGTAGTTGCACACACGAGGGAGAAAATAAAAAAAAGTCCTATTTTGAGAGGAGTGCAGAGGCCAAACTAATAATAGCTTGGAAGAAAAATCCTTTCCAGGCATTTTTTCCCCTTATTTGAATACTTCCAAAGATCTGAGCGACTGGCTGGCTTATCTTCCAAGATTTGGGAGACAGATCTAGGAATCGGGAGAAAAATTCTAAAGGTGTGACGAACAAGACAAGAATCGAGTCTATAAATTGTGCAACAGAACCTTTTTTTTTTAGCTTTTCAGAAATTAAATACAGGTAGTTCGTGACACAGGACTGTAGTGGAGCCGGCACGTTGCAGTTGTATGTTGTGACGTTGTAAAATGGATCGGTCACGTTTTTGGGGCAGCCATTAAGCAAACACAGCGGTCTTTAACCAAGCCAATGGTTTGCTATGGGAGTGGTTTTGCCCAAATCAAGAACCTTCATAAAGCTTTATTTTTTTATATAAAACTAGCTGATAACTCGGCGTTGCCCGGGTATTTAAGAACCAATTCCCCTTACCAGAGGGAGCCCCCTTGCGGAGTACTGTGAAGCCGTTACCATGGAAACTCCACTGTGCTGTACAGTAGAAGCCATTTTAAGGCACAACAGGCTGTATCTTAACAGAACTTGAATCCAAAATGCACACTATCGCTGTCAAAAGTACTGTGATTTGACACTATAGATATAATTCATTCCTTTTCATTTCAGCGGCCCAGGCGTTCCAGAGTTATGCTGGAACACACACACACACACACTCGGGGGGTTAGGGGTGTCTTACTCCCACAGTATTTTTTTCCAGAGAGTAAGTCATCTGTGTACCAAGTTTGGTTGAAATTGCTCGAGGCGTTCCAGAGTTATGCTGGAACATACACACATCCATTTTTATATATATATAGTTTACCCAATTACTGAGAAACAGGTTTAACCTTTTTATACAGATCAAAGTAAACCTTTACAGCTAGGTGTGACGGGCAGCTTGGATGCAATGATGCTGGCCCAGAATTCCCTTTTGGCACCTTATGTTTGGCTCTAGGTGCTGGGATATGTAGTTCAGCCATTTCTGGAGGGTGGCCAATTTTCAGTCCCTTTGACACCCACTCCTTGTGCACCCAGATTTTAAACATCACAGCTTAGATGTGTGTATGTCATGAATAGAATAGAATAGAATAGAATAGAATAGAATAGAATAGAATAGAACAGAACAGAACAAATATTGGAATGAAGAATGGAATCGATAATACACACAGGGCATTTGTGATATATGAATTGCACGCACACAGACACACAGACAAAAAACGATGCAAGCAGGAATGATTAAGAGTTCAGGAGATAAGCACGAGAGACGTTCTCCGCTTCTGGATAATAATGGGATTAACTCCAATCCAGGCACCGATTAAGTAATAGGGAATGAAATGATAACCCGTTTTGCTAATTTGATTCTGGTATCTGTCATCTTCCTTTCAGCGGTTTTGTCTCCTGATCCAGTGGTGAAATCCAATTTTTTTTTACTACTGATTCTGTGGGCGTGGCTTGGTGGGTGTGGTGTGGCTTGGTGGGCATGGCAGGGGAAGGATACTGCAAAATCTCCATTCCCATCCCATTCCAGGGGAAGGATGCTGCAAAATCTCCATTCCCATCCCACTCCAGGGGAAGGATACTGTAAAATCTCCATTCCCTCCCCACTCCAGGGGAAGGATACTGCAAAATCTCCATTTCCACCCCACTCCAGGGGAAGGATACTGCAAAATCCCCATTCCCTCCCCACTCCAGGGGAAGGATACTGCAAAATCTCCATTCCTACCCCACTCCAGGGGAAGGATACTGCAAAATCCCCATTCCCTCCCCACTCCAGGGGATACTGCAAAATCTCCACTTCCACCCCACTCCAGGGGAAGGATACTGCAAAATCTCCATTCCCTCCTCACTCTGGGGCCAGCCAGAGGTGGTATTTGCCGGTTCTCCGAGCTACTCAAAATTTCCGCTACCGGTTCTCCAGAACCTGTCAGAACCTGCTGGATTTCACCCCTCTCCTGATCCCTTTTTCCCTTTCCAACAATATCACAACCTTAAAAAGTGGGAGAAGAGAAATGGCCAGCGACTGCTGATTTTAATAAAATTGTGATATATTTTTTTTTTAAATGCACCAGAGAAGCAAAAGTAGAAATTCTTCAACCTCAAATCTCAGAAATATCGACCGACCTGTAGCGGGTAGCATTTTCCATTTTGATGTCTTCCAGGTGAAATTCAGCCCAGGGGTCAGGCATGTGCTTGGCTTTTTCAATCGCATGCTTCCATGCTTCCTGCAAAGGTCAAAACTTATCACATGAGTTATTTATAAAGTGCTTTCAGGCCATTTGAACTCTACAGAAAGTCCCCCTCGGATAAAATTCACCGGTCCTGATTCTAACTGGCAGTTAAGTTTCTGTGGTTTAGACTCAGATACAGGTAATCCTCGATTTACAACAGTTCGCTTCAAGGTGGATTTGATTTAAATCGAGTTGATTTAAATCATGATTTAAATCACTAGTAAAAAGGTTTGATTTAAATCAACTCGATTTAAATCATAATTTTTAAAGAGCAACTGTCATCTCTGCTACTCCTTTGACCCACTGTTGACTCACCGATAGTCCCAGTGTTGCAGAATATACAGCCTCATGCTACATAACTAAGCTGCATTTCATGCTGAATAAACTAAATTGTTTATGTATCTTAAATAGAAAACTATCTTACAATAGATTTTTACCTCAAAAGTTTTTTATTAAAATAAATCCGATTTAAATCAAAAAAATCCGATTTAAATCAAAAAAATCTGATTTTTTTGATTTTTTAAAAAAAAATCATTGATTTTTATCCACCCTGGTTCGCTTAACGACCATTCAAAGTTACCACAGCAGTGAAAAAAGTAACTTATGACCGTTTTTTCCACACTTATGGCCGTTGCAGCATCCCCCGTTATTTTTTGATGCTTGACAATGGATTCACATTTATGACAGTTGCTATGTCCTGGGGGTTGTGCGATTCCCTTTTACGACCTTCTGACAAGCAAAAAGTCAATGGGGGGGGGAAAGCCGATTCACTTAACGACTGGGTGACTAATTTAACCACTGCAGTGATTAAAGTAAAGTAAAGTGAGGACCCAGATTGTTGGCAGACAATAGGCTGACTCTAAACCACTTAGAGAAGGCGGTCAAGCACTGTGAAGTAGTATATAAGTCTAAGTGCTCTTACTATTGGTATTAACTCAGCCTTCCATCCTTCTAAGGTCGGTAAAGTGAGGACCCAGATTGTTGGGGTAAACAGGCTGACTCTGTAAACCGCTTAGGGAAGGCGGTCAAGCACTGTGAAGCGGCATATAAGTCTAAGCGCTATTGCTATTAATTCCATATTTATCTGCAATACCTGTTTTCCCCACTCTTTCGGGAAACAAAACAGAACGGTAAATATGTTCCTTCCGCTGGAATTTCGTTTGTCTATAAAAATGGATTGAATTATTCCTCCTTTCTCCGTTGTTTTACTGCTGATTCAGCTATTTCTGTTTTGCTCAAGAAAATACAGATATCAGTGGAGGAAGGGAGGGGCACTTTTAAACTTTCTTTTGCCAAACTCAACCCTCGAGTACTAAAAATGTTTAATGCAAATAGAAAGAATGCATGGGACAAAGAGGGGGTTTAAGTGGGATCCAGATGTTGGGCAAAAAAAAAATTCAAGACAGTGCCCACTAGTTATCCAATTAAACCCTCCCCTTTTAAAATGCGTTTTGTAAGTAAAAAGGGCAGTTATGCAGTCATGGAGGCCATCTTGACTTTTTTGACCAAAACCCTGCACCTCTCTCCCTCTCACCGTCTTGCAAAGTTGGATCCTGACTCCCATTTGGCAGCTGGACTGTCCAAAAACTGCACAGAAGTACAATGATAAATGGGAGAAGAGATTAACTCGGTGCATTAAATCACATGCAAATGTTTTGTTTTGTTTTTTTTGCTTGCACAAAAAAAAAATATTTTTGTTTCTTCTACTTCTACTGAACTGGTTCTCTTCCAGCAAAAAGGCTTTATCTGTTGACCTCGGGCTTCTTTATTTAGTTCAGCAACTGGTGTTTTGTTTTGTTTTGAAAATAAATATACAGTGAAACTGGAACAGGCTTCTCGTGGCCAAACGAAACCACACCAACATCCCACAAGCATCACCGAAAAAGCAAAAGCTTTTAAAAACATAAAAGGCCCCAGAACTGCACAGTGGCAAGAATTTAGGTACATGTTAGTACGAAAGAGGTTCAAAACATCACAACTCTAGAGCCATCGCTTTTCCAAGTCATTACAAAACGCCAGGATAGGAAAGCCAGGCTGGTGTAGCTGTTAAGATGCTGGTTTAGGAGATGGTGAATTCTAGTTCTGCGGTCGGCACAAAGCCAGCTGGGTGACTTCAAGTCAATCACCAGGAGACAGCGAGTTCTAGTCGCGTTTTAGGCATGAAAGCCAGCTGGGTGACTCTGGGCCAATCACCAGGAGACGGTGAATTCTAGCATGAAAGCCGGCTGGGTGATTTGGGCCAGTCATCAGGAGACAGAGAGTTCTAGTCCCACCTGAGGCATGAAAGCCAGCTGGGTGACTCTGGGCCAGCCACCAGGAGACGGTGAATTCTAGCATGAAAGCTGGCTGGGTGACTTTGGGCCAGTCATCAGGAGACAGAGAGTTCTAGTCCCACCTGAGGCATGAAAGCCAGCTGGGTGACTTTGGGCCAGTCACCAGGAGACGGTGAATTCTAGCATGAAAGCCGGCTGGGTGACTTTGGGCCAGTCATCAGGAGACAGAGAGTTCTAGTCCCACCTGAGGCATGAAAGCCAGCTGGGTGACTTTGGGCCAGTCACCAGGAGACGGTGAGTTCTAGTTCCATCTAAGGCATGAAAGCCAGCTGGGTGACTTTGGGCCAGTCACCAGGAGACAGAGAGTTCTAGTCCCACCTGAGGCATGAAAGCCAGCTGGTGACTCTGGGCCAGTCACCAGGAGACGGTGAGTTCTAGTCCCATCTTAGTCACGAAAGCCAGCTGGGTGACTTTGGTCCAATCACCAGGAGACAGAGAGTTCTAGTCCCACCCGAGGCATGAAAGCCAGCTGATGACTTTGGACCAGTCACCAGGAGACGGTAAGTTCTAGTCCCACCTTAGGCAGGAAAGCCAGCTGGGTGACTTTGGTCCAATCACCAGGAGACGGTGAATTCTAGTTCTGCCTCAGCCATGAAAGCCAGCTGGGTGACCCTCTCTCTCTTTCTCTCTCTCTCAACCCCACCCACCTCACAAAATTGTTGTTCTGGTGGGAAAAACAGGAGGAGGAAGGAATATTGTGTGTGTTTGCCGCCTTTAGTTATAAAAACAATAAAAGCGGGATTAAATAAATAAAAATAAGTTGCCGAAGGAAGTTTAAATGCCATGTTACTTTTATTTGAGATGATCCTCTTCCCAAAGAGGCTGTCACATCCTATTTTAGAAGTGTGGAATTCCATGTTGGCTTAAAAAAAGCCAAATCTGGGCTTTCAAAATGAGCTGTTTGGTGCCCCAATAAATGAGCAGCAAAAAGTCAAAAGGAAAAAGACGACAGAAAAAAGGAGTTTTGTTTCATTTCGATGTCAGTTTCAATTCAAGGAAATAAGCCTGGTTTGATATCTCTCTAATCATGTCCACCCTTCTGTCTTAGTTAGATATCCACCCAGTCCCTGTAACGAGATGGGCTCTCATATATAAAATGGCTGAAATAAATAACTGGAAAAATTAAAAATGACAGTTGGGTAACCGCTTTGGGGAGAGAGTTCCCCAAAACTGGAGTGGATATAAAATGAAGATAATGTGAAATGCAAAACAGGCATTTATTAGTGTCTGATGGGGAACAGGAAGGGATTGGGGGGTTCACCTACCCGTCCATGGTCAGTCTGAACGCTGCCCTTAGGGGAATGCTGAGTCCCATTCTGAAGGACACAGACAAGACACAATTACTGAACGACATAGCGAAACAAGACAAGCCAACATGGTTATTGCCGCTACACAAAAAGTCACCATGCCACTAGATTTCCATTTGCCCTTTCCCTCTTCTTCAAAATTCGACAGAGATATCGTCAAGACAGACCCTTTTACCTAATACTATGTACTTTTGTGTGAGGGACGCGATGGCCCAGGGGCTAAGACACTGAGCTTGTCGATCGAAAGGTCGGCAGTTCAGCGGTTCGAATCCCTAGCGCCGCATAACGGGGTGAGCTCCCGTGACTTGTCCCGGCTTCTGCCAACCTAGCAGTTCGAAAGCCCGTAAAAAATGCAAGTAGAAAAATAGGGACCACCTTTGGTGGGAAGGGAACAGCGTTCCGTGCGCCTTTGGCATTGAGTCATGCCGCCCACATGACCACGGAGACGTCTTCGGACAGCGCTGGCTCTTCGGCTTTGAAACGGAGATGAGCATTGCCCCCTAGAGTCAGGAACGACTAACACATATGTGCGAGGGGAACCTTTACCTTTACCTATGTACCTTTGCAAAAAAAAAAAAAAATCCTGACTTTTTTCAAGGGCAAACCAAAATATTCAGGAGCATCACCTGATCCTGCTCAGACAAACATTTGAAAGCTTTCATGTCTGGCCAGCTCACCTGTACGCTTCAGTGTGCAATTTTATGTGCAAAAGATTTTTAATTAAATCACCCAGTAGTTGTATTTTTTTTTTTAAAGACAGTTGACTTTTTTTTTTGTATACATGTACAATTATGTCATCCGTCACAAGATATAAGTGATTCTGGACGGCGTACAGCAAAAAAAGTTTAAAACAACAAACATGTCAATTAGCCCAATGTAATGCAGAATAACAGGATTGGAAGGGACTTTGGGAGGTCTTCTAGTCCAACCCCCTGCTGGAGCAAGAGATCCTGTATCATTTCAGACAAATGGCTGTCCAATCTCTTCTAAAAAAAACTCCATGTTGAAGCCCCCACAATTTCTGGAGGCAAGTTGTTCCACTGATTAGTTGTTTTAACTGTCAAGAAATTTCTCCTTAGTTCCAGGTTGCTTCTCTCCTTGATAGGTTTCCATCCATTGCTTCTTGTCCTGCCTTCTGGTGGCTTTGGAAAATAGCTTGACTCCCTCTTCTTTGGGGCAGCCCCTCAAATCTTGGGAAACTGCTACCCTGTTTCCCCCAAAATAAGACATCCCCTGATAATAAACCCAATCGGGCTTTTGAGCGCATGGCAAGTGTGAAGTTTCCGAAAGATGCCCTAATTAATTCATGAGCCATGAGCCGAACTTCAAAAGAAATACAGTCATTTATTAGGAGCACCATTTCGGCAATATTCGGATGCAATTAGAACTAATCCTACGTAGATTTACGTTCCCCTATGACCCTGTCTCTCCCCTCCTCTCTCTGGCCATGTCATAAATCACATTCTCCAATTAGCCACTTTGGCTGGCTGTGAAATCCAACACCCTCCTTCTGATTGCGGTCAGGAAGAATGTATGGAATGCACTTCAGTTAGGGAAATCAATCAGCTCTATCAGTTCTCCCTCCCTCCTGCTCATGGCAACTTGAAAGCTTTGCAAGTTGACAAAGCGCTTATTTCAGGGTTCAAAAAAATATATATAAGACAGGGTCTTATTTTCGGGGAAACACGGTATATTTCTTCAAACTTTGTAAGAAAACCACTGGATATGTTGGCCATAGAATAAACTATTGAGAAAGCAGAGTGGAAGGGCAAACTTGTCCAAACTTTAAAAGCAACTACAGTAAACCAGAAAAATATCCCAATTACGCATATTGGCAGAGTTAGTGACATGCAGCCAAAGCAGACAAGAGAGCTCATTGCCGAAGAGAGAGAGAGAAAAAAAAACAAATTACAAAGAGGCTAAAACTTACCCTAACATGGAAGGAATTCCTGGGAGAAGAGCTGGAGGAATAACCCTCATTTTTGACCAGGTTGCTGTAATAGTTATGAACTTTGTCCCCAGCTGGGTCATCTGTAATCGGACAGATGTAATAATTCTCCTCCTCGTCGCTCTCCGCCTCGTGGCAATTCCCACAACCTGGTTTGTTTAGCGTGGTGTTGTCCAGGTATTCCATGTGAAAGATCAGGTCTTCGTCCGCCATATTGGGAGTATATGGACCTTGCTCGGTGGGCTGCTGGGGGAGCCAGTATTACAGGCTGGAGAAACTAGGGAAGGAAATCAAGAGGAAAAAAAAATGAATAATCAGGATTGTGGGGGCAGAAACCAGGATTGGCTGGATTGCAGGACAAAGTTATAAATCATGGTTTACACGAGGGGGATCCTGTCAGTTCCGACAACTGCTGAGAGAGATGGATCAAGGATTCCACAAATGCAAAAACAAAGACTATGCTAGTTTGGATCCATGAGATAGTTTAGTTTAGTTTAGTTTATTAAATTTTTTTATACCGCCCTTCTCCCAAAGGGACTCAGGGCGGTGTACAGCCGACATAAAACCAACAATACAAAAGTTAAAAACAATTTAAAATTATTAAATAGTTTGGCCGATCGTCTAAAATACAGTAACCCGTTAAAATAATATTTTAGGCCAGCCCTGCTTGATGGAATAATAGCATTTTAAGGGGAAGGTACGGAGGTCAGAAATCCGACGAATCTCCGGGGGCAGCTCACTCCAGAGGGCAGGTGCCCCCACAGAGAAGGCTCTCCCCCTGGGGGTCGTCAGTCGACACTGTCTAACTGACGGCACCCTGAGGAGACCTTCTCTGTGGGAGCGTACTGGTCGGTGGGAGACTATCGGACCCAGTTAAGGTAACCCAGTTAATGTCTCGATTCCGGGTAGTCCTCGGCTTACGACCATTCGCTTAGTGACCGTTCGAAGTTAAAACGGCACCGAAAAGAGTGACTTCATCCCAAATTTCACAAGGCGCCATGGTGGCGCCGTGGTTAGAATGCAGTATTGCAGGCTGATTCTGCCCACTGCCAGGAGTTTGATACCAACTGGCTCAAGGTTGACTCAGCCTTCCATCCTTCCGAGGTCGCTAAAATGAGGACCCAGATTGTTGGGGGGACAATAAGCTGACTCTGTAAATCGCTTAGACGGCTTGACAGCGCTATATAAGTCTAAGCGCTATTGCTATGATGACTGTCGTATCATCCCTGCGATCACATGATCAAAATCGAGACATTTGGCAAATCACTCATATTTATGACCGTTGCGATGTCCTGGGGTCATGTGATCACCTTCTGCAACCTTGCAGTGCCCCTTGCATTGATGGGACCACTCCATTTGCCATTCGCTGTATTGGAATCCGCAAAATTTCTATACCCTGAATTGCAGGGACAATGCTTTTTGGATAAGACAACTTTTCCCTCTGCTGCGCAAGAGGCATAACCCTTGCCCCGCGCGGAAAGCTGCATTACGACGCTAAAACAGCCGTAAACATCGTAGTGCAAGTCTAAGCTTGCCATCTCCACCTTGGTGACGTGCACAATTGCAAGAGAAGCAAAATACTAACAGGTTTAACTAAACCAGCCAGCCTTGGCACGCTGGATAAACCAGACACAATTAAAATCTGAAGAGGGCATGATAGCAGTGTTCCAATATCTCAGGGGTTGCCCCCCAAAAAGAGGGAGTCAAGCTATTCTCCAAAGCACCGAAATGAACTGTTGTTAAGTCGAGAACTACCTGTGCTCTTGTTTTTTCCAGATGCTTCAAGTTTTATCTCCAGGAGCAGCAAACGTTAGGCAGGGAAATAATGTGGGTTCTGCAGGGAACATGCTGTTCCTTTCCTTCTTATGGAGATCCATGCGCTGGTGCCAAGTGGGCAGATTTTTCAAAGCAACGACTGGCTCTCTGCCAACTTGAGATCCCTACCCAGCCAATCAGGCGAGAAGGCTGCAGCTTCTTCCCTTCACGGTGCCAAGAGACAGACAAAGAGCTCTTAACAAATCTCTCGGCCACTCATACGGCTGTCCCAGGCACGGGATTGACCCGAGAAATCCTCTTCTATGTTTGTTTGTTTGTTTTTTTAAACCCCTTTTATCTGTTGGAAGAGAAGTGCTCCTTTGCGAGACATGAACCTTCCTTGAGAAGGAGAAGTTGGTTCAGAAACAGTCGTGGGGCTGTTTCCGGAAAAAGGGGATCGCTCGGTGGTCTACTTTTCCTTCTACATGTTTCCTCGCATTCTGCCATTCCCTTGGCTTGATCTATTTGTGTGTGTGTATGTGTAGGGAAACCCTTCCAGGTATTGAAGCCAAGGAGTGATGGAAACCCATAACCAAATATATATATTTATATTATACACAATTGTCAGCAATCCTTCGCTCCACAAGGAAGCTGGAAAATACCACCAGGAAAACCTTCAAGGTATTCTAACCAAGGCTTCCTGAGACAGTAACAATCACACGCTTAGTCCCAAAACCGCCAAAATGTGTCCCAAGCAGTTTGTGAACAGTCCGACAGAAATCTGCCACAGTCTTTCGGGATAAGGCTGATAAGCACCCACCTTTATCTCCCTTGAAACACTGCCAAATACCTAATTGCCAATTAGCTTTGCAAGGCCAAAACGGAGCTTCAGAGTTTAATCCGACCAGAACGAACAAAGTTGCTTCCTGCAAAGGCTCATGTGCCTTTGCTCCTCCTTTATGTCTTATGGGAGGAGCCAATCATCTCCAAGCCTTACTCCCGAGTTGCCCCTTTTGTCTTAACTGTTCTTGCCTTCTGGCAACTCTGCGCATGTGCGCACTGGGAACAGGCTCCCCCCGTTCCTCTGCCTCGCTGATGTCAGACTCTGAAGGCTCCGGAGACAGCACATAACTCCCAGATGGCCCTGGCTCCCTCTCTGCCTCTGATGCAGAGCCCTCGTCCGAGCCTTCCCCAGACTCCAGGACTGGCCCATGTTCCTCCCCAACCTCCTCACTGTCCGACTCTGCTGCCAGCTCTGGAGGCCATTGGGGGACCACAACACAAGGCCTCTGAGAGCAAGGTAGAAAAACAGAAGGGTTTTGGGGTTTTTTTTGAAGGAAATTGAGAAAGTGCATCTCGTCTCAGACAAAATGTTTCGGAGGCTTCGGACAACTTCTCTGCAATGATTTTGATGAAAACTGGCAAAACTGCAGCTGTAGCAAACCCCTATTGCAGCAGCCACTTTACGATTGGGGTTTAACAGATTTGCAGAGTTGGAAGGGACCTTGTAGGTCATCTAGTCCAACCCACTTCCCCCCCCAAGCAGGAGACCCTACACCATTTCTGACAAGATGGCTGTCTAGTCTCTTCTTGAAAGCTTCCAGGGTTGAAGCTCCCACAACTTCTGGTGTTCATTTAATGACCACTGCAAAAAAAGGTTGTAAAATCAGGTCCGTCTCTTGGTCTGATTTACGGCGGCCATGATTTATAATTGTGATGGGCGGTCTCCGTTAAGAGTCGTAAGTCAAGGACTACCTGTAGAAACTGAGCCCAGAGCGATGGTTCCCCCGAAGATCAGACCGTCCCTTAATCATAGAGGGACTAAGGACAGAGCCTTGGTAGTACAGGGGTTTAAGGCACCCTGTTATTAAGCTGGTTATTAAGACCAGCTGCCTGCAATTACTGCAGGGTTCGAATCTCGCCAAGGCTCAAGGTTGACTCAGCCTTCCATCCTTTCTAAGGTAGGTAAATTGAGGACCCAGTTGTGGGGGCAATAAGCTGACTTTGTATAAATATACAAAAGTATGAAGGCTACTGCTGAGCACATTGTAAGCCGCCCTGAGTCTTCGGAAAAGGGCGGCATATAAATCAAATTAAAAAAAAAAAAAGCACTTTGTCTATTTACTAAAGGTGTGAATTCAAGAATCTGACCTCCCTCATTCTTCCCATCTGATGCAAAAGGGCCCTTTTAACAGCCTCATAACTTTATCCTGCCTCCAATACCAGCCAAACAAATACATTCACTCTGCGCTGAAATTAGCAATAAATTATATTCACCCCTTTTTTACCAGGGCTTTCCTTTTTATGCCCTGGATTGTGCTGAAATGTTGTTTTAGAGGCCCTAAAATAAAAAAAGGAAGGAAGGAAGGAAGGAAGGAAGGAAGGAAGGAAGGAAGGAAGGAAGGAAGGAAGGAAGGAA